CCTGGTTTTTTGGGGGGGTCCAGTAGCAGGAAAGGCCCTTTAGGTTAGCTCTCTTGTAACCTTGCCCTTATAGATAGGAATGTCCTTGCTGATCCCGCAGAAAAGAAGGTTGAAAACTGGGTAGGAGCTGCAATGCAAAAATGGTCAGGGGCAAGATAAAGGAACTGAAGACAAAACGGAGTTGTTTTAGTTTTCTCTACTGCTCACACTAGCACAGCATACTATTCAAGGGATCTTATGTTGGATCAACAAATTGCTAGCTACAATAAACCACAAGTAGGCTTCCTAGGAGATTTTCAGGGAAGCACTGTACTATTTCCCTTCATTGTCAGATCCACCTTGAGCAAACATCTTGCTGTTAAGTAATTTTTCAGTCGTATCCAACTCTCCATGACCTCATTTGAGGTTTTCATGGTAGAGATACTGGAGTGGTTTTCCACTTTCTTCTCCAGCTCATTTTATAGATGAGGAAATTGAGGCAAACAGGGTTTAGTGACTTGCCTAGGGTCACACAGCTAGTGAGTGTTGGAGGCCAGATTTGAACTCAGGAAAATGAGTCTTCCTGACTCCAGGCCCGGCACTCAATTCACAACACCACCTAGCTGCCAACAAACATCTTAAGGCTGCTGCTTTTTGCTTCATATCATACCTATCTCTGGATAGGTCACATTCTTGTACCAGACTGTTAAGTTCAACTATGAGAATAGGAAATGTCTTATCTTGCCCACTAGCAGAGTAGCATAAGCTGCTCTCAGCAAGTGTTTAATGAATGTTTACTAAGTTGAACCAAAGGAACTTCTCTGTTACTAGAAAATAAGGACTTGAGTTAGAAAAGTAGGTAACCTCTACCATAGTATTATTTGAAAGGTTCACATAACAAGTATGTTCCAAGCCTGAAATTCCCTAGAAATCCTGTCCCTTGAGTTGCTCCTATAAGTTAAATTTTACTGAGTCCCTGTTTAAATTCAATTAAATTAACTTAGGAAGGACAACATATTAATCCATTATTCTCTATTACTGTATTGTCATAGATTAGTTTAATAAATTATTCTGCAGGACAAGGGGTGATGGGAGAGGTAGGAAGAGAGAGCAAGAGAAAGGTCTGGAGCATGAAGTATTAATACAGAGGGCAGCTTTGGGTGGGGTGATGGAGTAGAAGGTCCCAACCAAGGTAGCTGGGAGATGGTGGATTGAGTGGAAATGACTGAGTGATGGAGGGTAAGGAAGGAAAGGAAGCCCAATGGCAAATCTAATTCACAATTTTTCCAATGCTGAAAACTCAATAAATGATGTTGGCTGTATCTGCCATCATTAGTAAGTATTTATTATCTGTTTCGATTTATTTTTTTTAATGAACGAAAATTATTTTTTCTCCCTCTGACTGAAAAAAAAAAGACAAACAAAATCTTTGTAACAAATACGCATAGTCAAACAAAGAAAATTTCCACATTAGCCATATCCAATAAATATATTTTTCAATCTGCACCCTAAATCCATCACTTCTCTATTAGGAAGTAGGTAGAATTCTTAGTCATCAGTTCTCTAGAATTTGTAGTTGATCATTGCAATAAACAGAGTTCTTAAATCTTTCAAAGTTGTTTATCTTTATAATGTTGTCATTATAGTATAAATTATTCTGACTTTGCTTACTTTGCTCTCCATCAGTTCACATACATCTTCCCAGATATCTCTGATACTGATGCAGTCATTTTCCTCATAAAGTGAAATATTATTTTACTACATTCATATGCCACAACTTGTTCGAACATTTCCCAATTGATAAGCACCCCTTAGTTTCCTGTTATAAATATTTTTGTACATATGGGTCTTTATCTTCTTTCTCTGATCTCCTTGGGGAATGGGCTTATCAGTGGTATAGCTAGATCAAAGCATACATACAGTTTAGTAACTTTTGAGGCACAGTTCCGTTTTGCTTTCCAGAGTGGCTAGACCAATTCACAGTTCCATCAATAATGCATTCCCATAGCTCCTTCAATATTTGTCATTTTCCTTTCTTGTCAACTTCACCAATTTGTTGGGTATGAGATAGAACCTCAGAGTTACTTTAATTTGCATTATTTTAAATATTAGTGATTTGGAGCATTTTTTTTTTAGTGAGGCAATTGGGATTAAGTGACTTGCCCAGAGTCACATAGCTAGTAAGTGTTATGTGTTTGAGGCTGGATTTGAACTTAGTTCCTCCTGACTCCAGGGATGGTGCTCTATCCACTGTGTCACCTAGCTGCCCCTATTTGGAGCATTTTAAGAGATAATTATTGGTAGCTTTTTTTTTTAAATTAAAAAACTACTCATTCATATCCTTTCACCATTTATCAGTTGGGAAATGGTTCTTTTTCTTATAAATTTGAATTAGCTTGTATTACTTGGAAATGAAACCCTTATCAGAAAAACTTGCCGACAAGATTTTTTCTGTTACCCATTTCCCTTTTAATTTTACTGCACGTTTCATATATGCAAAACTTTTCTTATTTTACATAATCAAAATTGTCCACTTTATTTTATGTAATCCTTTCTAACCCTTGTTTAGCCATGAACTGTTCCCCATTCACACATTTAAAAGGTAATTTCTTCATCATTCTTTTTATTTGTTTGTCACCCTTTTCTTCTAAGTCCTGTAACCATTTGGAAGTTATCTTGAAAAAATGGTGTCAGGTGCTATTTTCTATCTATTTTCTGCTAGTCTGCTGTCCAATTTTTTTTTCTAGCTGTATTTTGCTGATTAGTGACTTATTCTCAACAGCTGGGGTCTTTGGGTTTATCCAATGCTGGGTTACTGTGCTCATTTGCTTCAATTTGTTGTGTATCTAATCTATTCTAATGATCATTGTCTCTATTTCTTAACCAGGACCAAATAATTTTTTATTGGTATTGCTTTGTAGCATAGTATGAGACTTCTTGTCTTCCTACTTTTTTCCATTATTTCCATTGAGATTTCTCTTTTCTATGTCCAGGTAAATATTGTTATTTTTTCCTAACTCTACAAAGCAATCCTTTGGTAGTTTGATTGGGATGGCATTGAATAAGTATATGTAGTATTGTCATTTTTATTATATTGGCTCAATCTACTCATAAACAATTCATATTTATCTAGTCAGTTGACTGGTTTATAGTTGTCTGTATCTTGCCATTTAGACTCCTAAGTATTTTATACTCTGTAGTTATTCTAAGTAGAATTTTCTTTCTATCTCATTCTGCTGAGTCTCATTGGTGATACACAGAAATAGTGATGACTTATGTGGATATATTTATGTCTTGTAACTTTGCTGGTTATTGTTTCAATTAATTTTTTAGTTGGCTCTCTAGAATTCCCTAAATAAGCTATGATGTCATCTGCTACAAGTGATAATTTTGTTTCCTCTGCCTGTGATTATTTCCTCAATTTTTTTCTTGCCTTATTACTATAGCTAGCCTTTGTAGGACTATATTAAATAGTAGTGGTTATAATGAGGCAGCTAAGTGGTGCAATGGATAGAGCACTAGGCCTGTAATTAGGAGGACCTGAGTTCAAATCTGACTTCAGATACTTACTGGCTGTGTGATCCTAGGCAAGTCACTTAACCCAGTTTCCCTCAGTTCCTCATCTGTGAAATAAGCTGGAAAAGGAAATGGCAAATCATTTCATTATCTTTACCAAGAACACCCCAAATGGTGTCACAGAGTCAAACACAACTGAGACAACAACAAAATGATTTTAATGAACATTCTTGCTTTACTCCTGATTATATTGGAAAGACCTCTAGTTTATCCTTATTATATATAGTGTTGTGTCTTGGTTTTAGATAGATACTACTACAGAAGTTCAGAGGAGTAAGAGATCATAGAGAGCTAGAGCAGTTGAGGGAAACCTCTGAAAGAGATAGATTTTAAAGGAAAGGTAGAACTAAGATAAGTGGATAGGTGAGAGGTCAATCCAGGCAGGGAGAGCATGATCAAAGGTTCAGAGGTTCCAACAAGGTGTTGAAGGGATTAAGGAATAAATCCATTTGATTTAAGCAGAAGATATGCACATATACATATATACATACTTAGGTGTGAATAGCTGGAGACAAAGTTAGGAAAAAAATTATGTGGAGAGCCTTGACTGACCAGCAAAGGATTTTGGACTTTTATTATGCAACTAATCATTTAAAGAGAGTCATTAAAGGTGTAGGAGAATGACATGTACCATGGAAGATTGATCTGTCAGTGATGCCTTGGACAGATTAGAAAGATGAGATGAGGGAGGCAGGGGATAACAGGTAAGAGAGAGATGATTGATCCACAGGAAGTGATCAGCTCTCTTTCTTTCCACCACAAGGTTAAACCCATAGATATTAATTAGTGATGGTTTTAGATCAATGTATGTTATGAGCAAATAATTTGGAACCAAAAGATACAGAATTAAATTAAGAGGGAGAAAGCTAGTGAATAAAAGAATACCTCTATTTTCTAACATTCTGATTTTGATTCAATTAAAGAAGCATTTAATACATGCCCAGCTGTTTAAGATACTGTGCAAAATGTTAGGGTTACAAAAATAAAAATGACCTGTAGTATTCTGGGTCACTTTTAATTTTACCTAAAATATATGTAGGGCAACAGGCCTAGAGTTCTCACAATTTATCATAAGGCATAGAGATTTTCAAATTGTTACATATCTTCATATAATTTTGCTTGTCAATCAAGGCTCTTTCTAACTTTATCTCCCATTATCCACAAATACACATCTATATATGTGCATATATACATATATATGACATACATGTACACACATATAACATACATGTCCGTATATATAACACACAAATCTGTATCTATGTACACATGCACGTGTATGTATGCTGCACAAGGTATATGACATGTACATACATGTGCATATACACATGTATATGTACACATGTGGGAGTTACATGTATTCACATGTTTCGGGCTTGTGAATAAATATTTGTCTGTATTAACTGAGGGAGAAAATCTCTCTTGTCTTTGGTTCATTTCTGCAGGTCCTTCGAATATTACAACAAAGAACAGAAGTGTGTGATTATGGCTGAAAACAGCAAGACTTCCTTGGTTGTGAGGAGGAGAGATGTGGTTTTATTTGAAAAGAGAAGTATGTATGTCTTCTTGTTCACCTTTCTTCTTAGGAGGGGGCCATGTACAACTTTTTAATGCGTTTTCTTTCCCAAAGAGATGAGGATAGACCAAGTAGTGAAGGGTTACTTGGTTTTGTAATAAAATGACTGGAGTGTTAAATTCTTCCTGGGCTGGATAAAAGGCTCTCTAACACTTCCACTGAGGGTGGCTGACTGTATTTCTTGGTTTCCACCTTCAGAATATGATTGAAGGGTTATTAAGAGACCATTGGACACAAGTGCTCTGTGCTTGTGTGTGTATATTTCTATCTCTATTTTATCTATATTCCTATCTTTGTATCTCTATTTATGCATGTATCTATATATGTATGTATGTATCTGTCTATGTATTCATCTATGTACGTATCTATCATCTATCTGTCTACCTATTGTATCTATATATGTATTTATCTATCCATATATTTATCATCTATCTGATGCATCTATTGATCTGCCTATCTATCTATCTATCTATCTATCTATCTATCTATCTATCTATCTATCTATCTATCTATCTATCTCTGTCTGTCTGTCTGTCTCGAGGTAGGGGAGATTTTAGTTCTTCCTGACAGTATTATAGTAAAACTCTTTAATTGTATTACATTTTTTCTTTTCTTTCAACATATACCATTTTCTTCTGACCTTTAATTAAATTACTTGTTATTGGTGTACTAAGTTCTGAATTTGCATGCTTTCATTTTCCATAGTTTACATTTGTTCCTTAGAAACCCTTAATAAATATCATCGTTATATGATGTAACATTATCTCAGAAAAGCAGATTCTTATAGGAGGAAAGAGTACTTAGCACCATTTCAGAGTTTGGCTACATATATGAAATTTTTTTTTTAAGATGTTAATGAATGCTAAGTTTTAGAAATAGTTCTTGGGATAAAGGATAAGGTAATCATAATTAGTTGTGTCCTGAAAAAGGACAAGTTGCCTGGGATTAGAAAACTCCATAGTGATGCAGTAGGTATTTATTGTTGACATTAAAGTAGACTAATTGTATGCTAGCTGATTAATTTTGCTTACATTATACCTTGCTAAAATAAGCAGTTTTCTATTTCTGGATTCCATAGAGCTTCATATAATATACCACAGAGATCCCTGCTTGCACCCTAGCCCCTTCCCCCAAATGAAAAACAGAGGCTTTTGCAGTATTTCTCCAGAATAAGAGAAAATCGAGGTAAAAATACAGTGACACACTTTCCATGACCACCCTACTTTTCTGTTCTTTGTTAGAGTGCACTCTTATCAATGAAACATTTTACCCTCATTTTTTGAGCTTGAAATACAACTTAACACTAAAACTTATGTCATTTGAATTCTGATTTACTTGTTGAGAATAGGCAGAAGTCTTAGGCTGAAATCTCATCTCTGCTACTTGTTCCCTTGTGTAACCTTGGGCAGAATATTCACCTCTCTGGGCCTCAGTTTCCTCTGAGGTACCTTCCAGCCCTGGATCTGTGATCCCATATGTTTCATTGTGCATGAAATAGAGGTAGCATGAAGAATTCACTCCCCCAAATTCTAACATTTGGACATGTAACTTAAGAGAAAATGAATAACATAAGATGGGTTCAAAATTAGAGTTCAAAAGGTAGTTGTTTAGAAGGTGATGGAAAAGACTGAAAACATATAGAGGCTTCCCTAGGTACATACCAAAAGCAAGAGCCAGAATGGGGCCTTTTCAATATTTGCTTTTTTCCTTGTAGAACATTGAAACACTTTAACACAATTGACCAGGATTTCCTCATGGAAAGTGATCACTGACAAAATCACAGCTATATCTGCTTGGGTTGTTTAGCTGATTGCCACTGGAGACATAAGAAACTGTCTTTTCAGGGAGTCTGGCGGCAGCAATAATGCAGCTGTCTAAAATATCATTTCTCTTTGCTATTTCATAACATATTAGTTTGTAATTAAGCAGGGGGCTCAGTTTTCTCCATTAGATTTATCTTTTATGAAATAGTTTAACTGATGGGAATTTATTTTCAGTCTACCTTTCAGAATGCAAGAGCGGAAATGGAAGAAGCTATAGAGGGACTCTGTCTAAAACTAAAACCGGAATTACCTGCCAGAAATGGAGTGATACTAGCCCTCATGTACCCAAGTAAGTTTTTTTTTTCTCTATCACTGTTCACATGCTGTATTCAGGATAATTCAGTTATTTCCCCAAACCAAATCAGACATGTGAATAGGAACTAGCACCATGGTGTTCATTATAGATGAGGAATGTCGAATGGACCAAATATTTGGAGTACAGTTCCAAAGTGGGAGCTGCCAAAGTTAGCAAGGTGGCTCAGCTAAATTCCTGGAATCAGGAAGACTTGAATTCAAATCTCACCTCAGATACTTACTAGCTGTTTGACCATGCGCAAGTCATTTAGTTTCTGTTTGCCTAATCCATTGGAGAAGGAAATGGCAAACCCACTCCAGTATCTTTGCCAAGAAAACACCCTGCTAGATCACAAAGAGTTGGACACAGTCGTTAGACAACGATTGAACAACAGCAACTAAAGTGGGCCTGGTTGGCTCCTTGTTGTCTAGAGTATTCATTTCTAAAATGGAGGCCTTGGCCTCTTGAAGCACCATGATTGTCCAATTGGAGAGGGTAAAGATGGGCTACAGGCCACTTTACTCCATAGCCAATCCTGGGAGGTGTCTCCAACACAACCATACCTGCTCTTAACCCCTTGTTGTACTCCTCCTCTCTACCCAGTTCTACCACTGTTTTTGACTCTTCCTCCCTGGGTATTGGCCCCTCATGGCAGTTTTACTCTAACTCTGACTCACAGTAGCAGCTGTGCAAATGTCATTGGGAAAATTCAAACATTATTCCATTCCTATCCCCAAATCATCTCAACTTTGTGATTGTGGCAAAAGCTCCTTAACTGGTCTCCCTGCCTTATCTCTCCCACTTCACTTCATTTGCACATGATTTTCCCAAAGTGCATGTATGACCATATCACTCAGCTATTCAAACTCCCTACTGATGTAGGGTCAAATATCCCATCCACCAGTATTCAAAGGCCTTCACAAACTTGTCCCAGATTACCTTTCCAGCCTTATTATATATTACTCCCCATTCTGCACTATTTGGTTCAGTCAAACTGACTTTTTTTTTCCTATTCTTCATATTTATACAGAAACATAATTCATTAAAATATAAATACATAAATAGGAAAAGCTGGTATGACACCATCTATTAAGCAGAACTATGTAATCAGACAAATATGTTTATATCAAAAACTTTCGGCTGAGCTGAAATCTGAGAAATTCAAATTTGCTTATTTTTTAAATTATATATAGTAAATGTCTATACAGAGAGATGTATGATTCTTGCTTAAAAGCTATTATGCTCACTCACTGTTATGATATATTATTTTAATGTCTTACCATGTATATTTCAATAAAAATTTATTTTTTAAAAAAGTTCGTCTTTTCAGCTAACTATGTTGCTCAAGTTAACTGAATAATAGTTATCATATATAAGCCTGACTTACCCCATAGGACATACACATGGATTTTTTAAAAAATCAAAATAAAATTTTTCTTCTTGAAATAAAGCATTGTGATTTTTCAGGGATAGTGGGAGACAGCCGGCCATAATGGAGAGAGTCAGTTATGAAGGCCTAGGTTCAAATCTTGCTTTTGATACATACTAAGTATATGTAGTTAGTACATGACCATGGGCAATTCTCATACAACTTAACCTCAGAGAACTCCCAGGAAAATATCTAAGATTATGAATTAAATAGACAATTGCTTATCTGTGTAGAATCTGGAGTTTAGTTATTTATCTGGTGGTTTTCTTCTTGGGAGAGGAATGGAAAGGCTTTCCTCAGTTTGTGACATCTAGAAAATATGATAAATAACAGGAGGGATTTTCCAGAATAAGTTTCAATAATTATTCTTCTAACTTTATCCTCCTTGTTGATAATGCTAACTATAAATATCTTAGGAATCTCAGAGTGCTGACGTACTGGCTTTACCTACCATAGGCAGCTAGTCAGAAGTTGATGGTAGGAACAGGTGAAGGATTTTGTGGACCTAGAAAGCCACCATTTTCCCTCTGGTCACTATATAGAGTTGATGATTCTGGACCTAGGCAAAGATATATCTTAAGCATCGGTTCAGAAACCTGAAAGTAGAAAAATAGTATCAACAATAAATATCACCCTTCTGACAAATCACAAACATGGCAAAAATCCTACAGAAATTCCAGTTGTCACATGAGTTCAAGTTGTATGTAGATAAGGCAGAATGGAATGCTGGAATAAGAGACCTGGATTTGAATCTTTTACTGCAGAGCTGTATGGCCCTGGGCAAGTCAATTATTCTCTGAGAGCTTCAGTTTTCTCATTTATAATCAAATGAGGCAATACATGTAAAGTGTTTTGCAAATCTTAAAGCACCATATAAATACTAGCTATTATCATTATTGTTATTGTAACTATTACTACTCTACAAAGTGGATATGAGATTTACACTAACTACCTTGCAGGGAAGTTTTAAGAGGAAAGCAACTTGTGAAATTTAAAGCACAATAGAAACGTGAGTTTTCATTCAACAAATGTGGATTATCTTATTCTCTACATATTTGGATGCCAAAAGCCTAAATCTCAGATGAAATGTACCTCTTTCTCTGGCTTTACAGAAACATAGGCATTATTGAAATATAGGCAAGGGGGCTGGAATTGGACATGTTTTTTCATTAGTATAATAATGATAATAATAATAATAAATAATTTATGTAACACCTACTATGTGCCAGGGCACTGTGCTGAAAGCTCTGTAAATATTATATCGTTCTATCCTCACAACAATCCTGGGAGATAGGTACCATTATTATCTCCATTTTATAGTTGAAGAAACTGAGGCAAACAGAGGCTAAGCAGGTTGCCCACGGCCTACAACTAGCAGGCCAAACTTGATTCACGTCTTCCTGACTCCAGGCCCAGTAGCTCTTTGAACCACCTAATTACCTCTAAAAAAGTAAGTCAGCATTTTCTCATTGACTGATAGTCCTGGAGTGTTGCCAGGGACATTGTTTGGTCGGGTGACTTACCTAGCTATCATACAAACAGCATATGTTAGTCTTGGGACTTGAACCCAGGTCTCTTTCTGTCCACTATGCCATAGCTATCTCTCCCAATTAAGTATAGGTATTCAATTAAAGCATTTTCCCCTTTCCACAGCTATACACCAAGCAAATACCCAGACGAAGGACTGGAGAAAAACTACTGCAGAAATCCTGATGATGATGTTAAGGGACCTTGGTGCTACACCACGGATCCAGAGACCAGATTTGAATATTGTGATGTTCCTGAATGTGAAGGTTGGGCCTGTCTTCCTCCTCCTCTCTCTCTGTCTCTCTCTCTTTCTTCCTTTCCTTCCTTCCTTCTTTCTTTCCTTCATTCCTTTTTCTCTTTCTCTCTTTCCTTCTTTCTTGCCTTCCTTTTTTCCCTTCCTTCCTTCCTTCCTTTCTTCCTTCCTTCCTTCCTTCCTTCCTTCCTTCCTTCCTTCCTTCCTTCCTTCCTTCCTTCCTTCCTTCCTTCCTTCCTTCCTTCCTTCCTTCCTTTCTTTCTTCCTTTCTTTCTTTCTTTCTTTCTTCTTTTCCTTCCTTCCTTCTTTTTTTCTCTTTCTTTCTTAGATAAAACAAAGCACACAGACATACTGAATCTCAATGAGATATTGGAAGTAGCTTCAGAGAGCCCATTGTTAAATTTTCAGTGTGAGCACCATGTAAATCCACAGGGGCTACAAATCAGGGTTTGAGTGACTGTTCTGTAGTTTGTTGAGACTTGAGAAAGTGCTAATAATTTCTAGTAGAGCCAGCTGTTAAGAATTTACCAGCACACTCCTGTGTTCATTAAGAAATTTCTTGATTGAGCTTGACCATAAGACAGGGTCTAGAGACTAAAATAGTCTATGCTGTTAGCTCTAATTTTCAAATATCTATAGTCATAAAGGTAGAGAGATTAGAACTGCATTAAGAAATCTCCAATCTTTTATTAGCCCTTCTTTGATGGCACTTGTCTAGAAATCATGTATAGACACACGCTTTTTTTTTTTTTGGCTAAGCAATGGGGTTAAGTGATTTGCCCAGGGTCGTACATCTAGTAAGTGTTATGTGTCTGAGGCCAGCTTTGAACTCAGGTCATCCTGACCCCAAGGCTGGAGCTCTGTCCACTGTGCCACTTAGCTGCCCCATTCAGTATTTCTAATCCCATCTCTAGTTCCAGTTTCTCATCTGTGTTTGTTCCTCCCTGCCTCCTTCTCCCACCCCTTACCCCTGTTTCATCTTTGTTACCTTCATTCATTTCAGTCTCTCTCTGTGTTTCCACCTAACCTACCATGCCAGATGAATGCATGCACTGCAGTGGTGAAAACTACCAAGGTACCATTTCAAAGACAGAGTCTGGAACCGAGTGTCAGCCTTGGGCCTCCCAGGAACCACATTCTCATGAGTACCTTCCTTCCAAGTAAGTACTACCAGGAGAAAATAAAGACATTGAAATGAACTCTTTGATCCACATAGGTATTTCCTATTATTAATTCTTATTCATCTAAGAAGCGACTGGAAGATCTCAGAGAAGGCGTTGCTGATGAGCTTCAGATCTCAGAAATCTCCTTTCTCCCTCTGCCTTTATTATGATGATAACATAAAGGAAGAAGCCAGGGCAAAACAGCAGAAAACTAGAATGGTACCATATCTACCGGCCTCAAATATTCTGTTTCCTGCATTCGCTCCTTTGACACTTAGCACATGCTCTGTTCTCATCATCAGGTGTAGGTGAATTAGACCCAAGATCCACCAGCCCTTTTCCCATTAGCTGGGTAATTCTTTGGGGTGGGGGTGGTTATCTTTTGATACACTGCCAGAAGTGCTGATGCAATCAACTGCATCTGGATTCCCTTGCTGCACTCCTATCCAGATGTTGAGCATCCCAAAGGAATCTTTTGTGTTCAGCATAAGGGGCCATCTGTGCTTGCTTTTGCTTCTGCACTCCCTGGGGTCCTATTCTTCCTACTCTATGAACACTCAGTAGGACAGAAGAGTCATACATTAAAAACATGAGGATTCTCACTCTCTTCCCTAGTGCATACCAGCTCATTATGTTTGCTCAGTGGATAGTTAGGCAAATTCAAAAATTACGTATTAAGTATGTGCCATGTATTTTCTGTTTCCTGTACAATAGAGGTATTTATTAAACACACAGTCCACAACAGTCTCACATTCAACCCGAGCCAGATTAAAATGTAACTGGGATATATAAAACAAAATAAATAAAAACACAACAGAAATATATAACATCAATATGTGGTTTTCTAAATTGATCTGCAGCCTACAGATATCTGTCTCTATGACTCAGTGGCCTTCATTTCTTTGATACCACTGGTGTACATGACATCCTAGCTCCCATCCTTGTGTCTTTGCTTAGGTGGTCCTTCCAAGTATTATAATTCTTACTTTCCTTCTTGACTCAGTTTAAGCACTCAGCTTTTTGTGACACCTCCCCCTCCCCAATATTTTTCTGCTGTTCTTTACCCATGTTACTGTGAATCTATTCGTTCATATATTGTATAGACCCAGAATTTCCTGGTGGGTTAGCCTCAGTGTCAGAACAACCTGCTTTCCTGGTTTCAAATCCTGACTATGACACATACTGGTTGTATGACCATGAATAATTGTGTTACTTAATCCCCGAGTTCCCAGGGAACTCTCCGAAATTACAAATTTTAGAGTGAGTACTAACCTGCATTGGTAGAGAAGAGAACTTCCCTACTAAGAGTTCCTTAGTCCATCAGCAACATCATTGACAAGCATCTATTAAGGACTTAATTGGAAGCTTTTACAATAGTGTAGGCATGAGGTGGTGAGGGTCTGTACGAAGATGGTAGCCGTGACAGAGGAGGGAAGGGGATATTATATGAGACATGTTGTAAAGCTAAATGTCATGAGTTTTTTCCCCACTCAGATTTCCCAATAAGAACCTAAAGGAGAATTATTGCCGCAACCCAGATGGAGAGCCTCAGCCATGGTGTTTTACCTTGAATCCAAATAAGCGCTGGGAATTCTGCAACATCCCCCGTTGCTGTAAGTATTGCCTATGATAGCACTGTGCTATTCAAAGCCTCTGGATAAAGTTTTAAATGGGATGAAGGTGAAAATATTTGACAGTGACTGAGTATCTGGCTGAAAGGTGACATTGGACCCTGGAGGTTATTATTACTATTTGCTTAGTAATTTTTTTTTTAGCTATGTCTGACTCTTTGTGACTTCATTTAGGTTTTTCTTGGCAAAGACACTGAAGTGGGTTTGCCATTTCCTCCTCCAGGTCATTTTGCAGATGAGGAAACTGGGGCAAACAGCATTAAGTGACTTGCCGGGGGTCACACAGCTAGTAAGTGTCTGAGGCCAGATTTGAACTCAGGTCTTCTTACCTCCAGGCCTGGCAGTCTATCCACTGTGCCACCCAGTTGCCCTGTCTCTAGATTAATGAGGTCTTAAAAGTGAAGTAATTTTAGGTCGTCATCAGAATTCCCTGACGTGTAACTTGACCTTTGCTTGAATACTTCCAGCAATGGGGAATTTACTACTTCACAAGTCAGCCTATTCTATTTTAAATTCTATAACTATATATTTCAACCTGATAACTATTTCAATTATTATTAGACAGCACTTCCTTATATTACACTGAAATCCACCTCTTTGTATTTTTGATCTACCAGACCTATTTTACCCCAAACAACACAGAATAAATTGAATTCCTCTTCTCAGTGACAATTTTCCAGCTATTCAAAGACAAGTAGCCTGTTTCTCTTAAGTCTTCTCTTCTCTGTGTTAAGCAGCTGTGATGAAACTCTGAAAATTGACTGAGGGCTTTTGTATACTAGAAATAGTCTTCAGGCTACAGGGCAGAACTTGGCAGTGGATATAACTGATGTCATGAGCTTCCAAGCTGAAAGGAGGCCAGTCCGCTCTGAAAACTAAGAAAACCACAAGAAAGCCCATCTCTAGAATCCTCAAATGGACTGACTGACTTTATGCTGGCTTGGATCCTCCCTAGAGAGCATGAAGCTGATAGAAAAGGGCACAACTTACTACTGCTACAGAATTTTAAAAGCAAATGATATATTTGGGAGTTGGGGATAAGATGTGAGGGAAATGGAAAACAATGTGACATGGTCCCAAATCTTTTTTAGTCATATATCCCTTTGGTAATTTCATCATAAATAATTCCGTGCCCTTTTCTATCAGCTCTTAGCTAGAGACAATGGAGCTGATCTTGACCTACTAACAGGAGAACCAGTCTCATCTACGTTTAGGAGTAAAATGGAAGTCTGAGACATGAGATTCAAAAGAAGGAGTTAGATGAGGATAAAGTAAAGAATATCACTGTTGTTCAGTTGTTTTCAGTCATGTCTGATTCTTTTTGACCCCAAGGGGTTTTCTTGGAAGAGATACAGGAGTGGTTTGCCATTTTCTTCTCCAGCTCATTTTACAGGTGAGGAAACTGAGGCAAACAGGGTTAAGTGACTTGCCCAGGGTCACACAGCTAGTGTCTGAGGCCAGATTTGAACTTGGGAAAATGAATTTTCCTGACTCCAGGGCCATCACTCCATCCACTGTGCCATCTATCCGCCCCATGAAGAATATTGCTAAAGCTCTGTAACTCCACAGTTGTATATCTCTTCACATGTATATGGCTTTGTTTCGTTTGATGTCTTTCTTTAATTCCTTCACAAAACTTGTCTTGATTAAGGGAAGAACTTTTTCCAACACCTGCCTCGGAGATATAGGGACATATTCAGGGATGAGATTTATCTACTGGACTGGGACTGGCCTCTAACCTGTGAGTGACCAGAGCTGAACAGCAGGTTAGAGACAGGAGAGTCAGGAATCAAACAGAAGTTTAATTAATTCCAGAGTGAGAAAATTCTTGCAAGTAGCAGCTCTACCCCCCACCCCCAGCCCTGAGAAGGAGGGCTTCTTCTGGCAGAGGTAGGGTTTATACATTATATATATATATATATATATATATATATATATATACACACACACATACACACACATACATATACATATACATATATGTACATATATATGTACATATACGTATATATATGTATATATATGTGTATATATATATGTATATATATATGTATATATATATATATATACATATATATATATATATATATATATATATGCAAAACCACAAAAGGGCTGGACCACAACACAATCACTCTTAGGTCTTGAGTAAGCATTTCCCATGCTTGGCATTTCTTGGGACAATGTAGGCATTCTTGGTTCCCATGGTAATAGTCTCTAGAATTATTGCATATGAATAGTTGATCGTTCAGCAGGGTACAGAACAAGAGTTAACATGGCAGGAACAGGAGTACAGTATCTGGTTCAGTTACACATGCACAGGAATTCAGGAATTGTTATTATGTCAAAAATTTTTGAGGGATGGTCTTAGGCTGCAGCACATGGGCTGCTTCTGGCCCTCAAGGTCCCTGAGACGTAAGGGAAGCTCCAATAAATCTAAACTGTTATTGATTAATATGAAAATCATAAATTCCTCAGTGAACACCTGGTGCTAGTCAAAGTAATGCACTTTGCCAGAGGGTGAGATCATCCAGAGCACAAAGCATTGTTGTTATGCCAAGCTCAGGGCACAGCCTGCTTATTGGACCTAAACTCTGGGAAACAGTGTCTCCAAGTACCTTGACAGGTTCAAGTTTGGTGTACCAGATCAAAGAGAGAAATCCTTTGGAGTAAAGGTCTTTGGAATTCAATAGCAGAAACTATTCATAGTTTCCCAGTTGGCATTTATTTTTGACATTTCCAGTTTTCCTCAACACCTCCTCTTACTATATGATTTTAAATACTCTCACCATCTCATTGCCCTTCTCCAGATGTGCTTGTCCGTGTTCCTTATAATGTGTAGTACCTGGTATTGAATTCACTAATCCAGATGAGATTTAAGTAGAACATGTGAGACAATTATGGGTGGTCAATTCAGTTCAGTAATTTTTCAGTCGTGTCCAACTTTCCATGACCCCATTTGAAATTTTTTTGGCAAAGATACCGGAATAGTTTGCCATTTTCTTCTCCAGCTCATTTTATAGGTGAGAAAACTGAGGCAAACAGGGTTAAGTGACTTGCCCAGGGTCACAGAGCTAGTAAGTTTCTGAGGCTGGATTTGAACTCAAGAAGAGGAGTCTCTCTGACTTCAGGTCCAGCGCTCTATCCACTGTGCCACCTATCTGCCTAGTTATGCAGATGCTTTGGGAACATTATGTTCTTTATTCAGGACACTCTACTTCTGTAATTATAGTCTAAGATCACATTAACTTTCAGGGCAGCTAAATCATCTCGTTGAACATTATGCTAAACTTGTAGTTAACTTTCTTGCCACCCTAACTCTTTTTACATTAATTGCCTGTCACCCACATTTCCTCCCACCTATACCTGAGCAGTTGATTCTTTAAAATATTATTTTATTGATATCGTTTATTTTTATGTCATCTTCATTTCCCAACATAACCCTGCTGCCCAACCAATGATACATCCTTTGAAACATAAAAGAAAAAAGAAAAAAAAAGTAGCCCGACAAACCCAATCAATACACCAACAGTTTCTAACAGTGTTTACAGCACTCCAAACCCACAGTCTCCTAACTCTACCAAGAAACAAGAGAGAGATATTTTCCCCAGCTCTTCACTGGGGCCAAGCTTGGCCATTGCAATTACAATTAGTCAACAAACATTTAGTAAGTACTTGCTATGTGCCTTGTGTTAAGCCCTGGGAGTACAAATAAAGACAAAAAAAAATCCCCATCCTCAAGGTTGGACTTTTGGGACACCCTATATGATTCTGGAGGTACCAGGGACCCGCTGAAACTCACTGAGCAAAAGGCAGTGACAGGGTCAGACCTACATTTTAGAAGAGTCACCGTGGCAGGTGAGTGAAGGGTGGACTGGAGGAGGTGGGAGGAGAAACCTGAGACTGGGAGACCAGTTAGGCACTGGTTAGACAATGATGAGGGCCTGAATTGGGGTAGTGACCAAGTGGAGAGAAGGGAAAGTATACAAGAGATGTTGTGAAGGTATTCAACTTTTTTTTTCTTTCCATTCCATTTTTCATTGTTGTAGTTACTGTTTATATTATTTTCCTGGTTCTGTTTGCTTCATTCACTCTGCATCATTCATATTTCTCTGACATTCTCATGAGAAATATGTTTCTCAACATATTCTCAACATATTCATCATTTCCATGGCACCGTAATAATTCTATTACTTTTATGTGCCACATCTTATTTAGCCATTTCCCCAACTGATGGGAATGTGCTTTGTTTCCAGGTCTTTGCTACCACAAAACATGGAAGCAGTTGATTATTTGACCTGGATTTCACAGGATTATACAGGATTTCACATTTGTTCCTATTAAATACTGCCATCTTAGGTTTGGCCCATTGTTCCAGTGACTCTGTCGGGATATTTTTGGATCTAGCTTCATATCATTTGCCAATTTAATAAATATACCCTTCAGGTCTTCATTATAGCCTTAAAACCATGTGACTACCATTTAGTCACATTGCTCCATCTTCTCTAGAAGGATGTTATAAGAGATTTTGTTAAATGTCTTTCTGAAATCCAGATGCATTATTGCCTTTCTCTGATATTTTGTTGTTGTTATGTCATTTTTCAGTTGTATCCAACATGACCCCTTTTGGTGTTTTCTTGGCAAAGATACTAGAGTAGTTTGCCATTTTCTTCTCCAGCTCACTTTACAGATGAGGAAACTGAGGGTTAAGTGACTTGCCTCAGGGTCAAACAGCTAGTGAGTGTCTGAGGCTAGATTTGAACTCATGAAGATGAGTCTTTCTGGTTCTAAGCCCAGTGCTCTGTCCACTGAGCCACCTAGCTGCCCCTTTTATCGGATATACCAGGCTAGTAACACCCCAGTGTCTACTTCTTCCTTTTCAAAGTACACACAAAGTGTTTAATAATTGGTTCTAGAATTTCACTAGGGATTAACATGGGTCTAGTTTAGCACCTACCTCCCCTTTTTGAACATTGCAGGGATATATTCTCTTCCTGAGTCATCTGCCATCTCTCCTCTTCTCCAAAGGGATTCTAGAAAGCAAATTTGTGATCACTTCTACCAGTTAATTCCCATATCCTCTGATGTAATTCTTTTGGATCAGGTGTACTCTCTTTTTATCCTCCCATCTATTTATTTCTCTCTTAACCATATTTGCTTTACTCTTTCTAGCTTGAAAATCATTCTCCTTGACAGAGAAGATGAAAGCAGTGTAGGAGGTGATTCATTTGGCTTTAACATTTCATTAACAACCCCAAAGTAGTGGGCATATACCTTTCTTGTTCTGCTTTTTTGTTTTGAAAATATAAAAGGAAAGAAAACAAAACAAAAAACCCAACCCGATTTGTTCACTTTGGAATATTTTTTAAATTTAAATTTCCCCTTTAATGCACTGTCCCATCCAGCCAAACTGGCTATACTTCATACGATCTACTCTGTCTCCTTTCTCCATGCCTTGAACAGACTGGCCTCAGTGCCTGGAGAGTATTCCCTCTTAGAATACCTAATAGTTATCTTCAAAGCTTAGTTTAATTGCCACATTTTACATGAAGTTTTCCTTGATTCTCCAGCTGTGGATGTCTCCCCCTTACCTTGATTTTATTATGTATAAATTTTGTATATCTATATATGTGCATGCTGTGTCACTTGATAGAATGTAAGTACTTAGGGGCAGGGATTGTTTCATTTCTGTCTTTATATCCCCAGCACTTGAACATAGTATTTGGCACCTAGTAGGTGCTTAATATAGGAGTACCTAGGTGGTGCAGTGGGTAGAGTGCCCAGTCTGGAGTCAGCAAGACTTATCTTCATGAGTTCTAATCTGGCCTTAGACATTTACTAACTTTGTGACCCCATGGCAAGTCACTTAACCCTGTTTGCCTCAGTTTTCTCATCTGTAAAATGATCTGGAGAAGGAAATAACAAATCATTCCAGTATCTTCATGAAGAAAACCTCAAATGGGGTCCAGATGGAGAGACAGACATGACTGAACAACAACAAAAAGGTGTTTAATCAGTGTCTGTTGATCGATTCAAATCTCAGCCCATTTGGGGTCATTAGCCTTAGTACAGTCTCTTACAGGTCCATCACACTTTTGGGATTCTTTCATGCATATGCACTTTTCCTTCCATTTTTTGTATTCAAGAACTATCGGGGTAGCCACAATGGTCTATTAGGTACCTTTTTTTTTTGCCTCATCACTAGAATTATTTACAAATATCTTGTCAGAATTTTGTTTTTGAGACAAGTCTTCCAACCTCCTTCGGCTACCTTCCCTTTTAAAGAGCCTCTGGCCACAGTACAATGCCTACCAATTCTCTGGACACTTTGAGAACTGCTTTCCTAAAGCATGGGGTACATATTTGACCCTGTCCAATGTCTGCCTTCTTAATAATTCAGAATTCTAAAACGTCACAGTCACTTTCTCCTACGGTTCCCATTTTTCCCATTTAAAAAATCTTAGCATGTCCAACATTAGTGAGACTTTAGGGAATTCGCCAAAACCTTTCATTTTAGAAATGAAGAAACAACGGCTCAGAAAGGCTTAAGTGACTTGTCCAAGGTCACCCTGCTAAGTCACTGACCTGGACTTTGACCCTCAGTTTCCTGATTCCCAATATAGTTCAATTTCCATTTCACCACTACTCCTTTGTCAGAATTAAGGCCAAAGTGGCTTCTACTACTTTCTAAGAGATTATCAGTAACAAAAGTCAAAACTTTATTAGATACTCTGCTTTTAGCGCAGTGAAATTGTGTGGCTGAAGCTCCCTGTCACTGCTGTACTGCACCTTTATACCAATTGTTTTGCTTCTGTACTAGTGTGATATCTGGACAAACATCATCTGTATCCTCCACCTTCCCGTCCAGCTTATTGGATGCTCTCTCCCTCCTTTGCCCTCCCCTTGTTTCTGTCTTTCCCTTCTTCTCTCTCTCTCCCTTTCCCTTCTCTCTTGCTCTCTCCTTTTCTTTCTCTTTCCCCCTTTCTTCCTCCCTCTTTCCCTGTCTTTCTCTCCCTCTCCTCTCTTTCCCTTCTTCTCTTTTTTCTCCCTTTCTCTCTTCTCATCCACTTCTCTCACTTTCTCTGTCCTCTTCTTTCCCTCACTCCTCTCTGTCTCCTCCTCTCTCCCTTCCTGTGTGCCCACCCTCTCTCCTTCTTCCTGTCTCTTCTCCCTCTCTTCATTCAAAGGCTCTCCATCTTGCTTAAACTCTTCAGAGTTCATTAACTTCTTTATAAAGTTATATTTCCTGGCATAGAATGTAGCTATCATGCTCCTTCTAGCATATGTTTCTTTTTAACTAGATAAATTGAAAACAATATTGGATTTGAAGTAAAAAATGCTAACTGCAGTTTACACAAGCTTTGGTCTCTGAAAAATGAGGGGCCTGGACTAAATGAGTTCCGTGGTCTCTTCCATCTGTAAACCTTTGTTCCTTTTCCAGCTGTGAATAGAATTAATATGGCATTATAAATAATTAGCATTTATATGACACTAGAAGGTTTGCAAAACATTTTATAAATATTACCTCACTTGATCCTCACAATGATCCTGGGAGGTAGATGCTATTATTATCCCTATTTTATAGATGAGGAAATTGAGGCAGCCAATACCTATTCTCTTCCTAAGGGAACTGAGGCAAACAGCAGTTAAGTGATTTAAGGGTCACACAGATCTGGGAAGTGTCTGAGACATGATTTGAACACAGGTCTTCCTGACTCCAGATCCTGGGTTCTCTCCTCTGTGCCACCTAGCTAATGTGATCTTGTAAAAGTCATTTAACCTCTTTGAAATTTATTTTTCTCAGTTGTAAAATGGGGAGAAAATAACATGAGCAACTACCTACCTCATATGATTCATCTCACAAAGGTCAAATGAGGTCATCTATGCCAAATATTTTGTCAGCCTTAACTTACTCTGTAGATCTCAGCTATTACTAGTCATTTTCTACCATTGGGAATACCGATGAAATTGTCTTTACTTCCTTGGGTTAAAATTTTAGCAATAGTTTTTTTTTAAACCGCCCATATTATGTGCATTGATATCTATGAATTACTGGGAACCTCAGATCAATCAGTCAACAAACACTTGAGTACCGACTATGTGCCAGGCATTATGCTACATGTAAGCTCCTTGAGGGCAGGGATTGCATTTTGCACAGTGCCTGGCATATAGTAGGCACTTGATAAAAGTTTACTGATTATTTAATTGCTTGGGAATACAAAGACAAAAATGAAATAACCCCACCCTGAAGGAGCTTATATCCTATTCAGAGACACAAACATACATAGGATCATAAATTTAGAACTGGATGGGACCTCAGAAGTCATCTAGCCCAACTTCCCCATTTTACAGATGAGAAAACTGAGGCCCCAAGGAGATTAAGCAATTGGCACAGGCTTACATAGCCACTATGTTTCTAAGGCAAGATTTCTGCGACTTCTGTTACACTCATATTATGCTGCAATAATAGAAGGGCAGTGTCCACAACAAGGGAAATGTCTTGATTATCTTTATGCAGGGGATAGAGCTTCAGGCCTGGAGTCGGGAAGACCTGAGTTCAAATCCAGCCTCAGACACTTACTAGCTGTGTGATCCTTGGGCAAGTCCCTTAACCCTGTTTTTTGCCTCAGTGTTCCCAGACCAAAACAGGCACATATAAGGGGGTGAAGAGCAGCCAGAAAAGGCTCCTCTTCAACTGTCTCAGATAAAAAACAGGTGAGGGAAATGCAAGCCTCATCAAGCTTATAGTTTTGTGAAAAATGGAAAAACAACATCTAAATGCCAAGTCTCATGAGAAGCAGAGCCAAAAGGGAAACATAGGCCAGTTTTTTTTCCTCTACTGCTCATCTGTGTTTTCAAAAAATGCTATATATATATATGTGTGTGTGTGTGTGTGTGTGTGTGTGTGTGTGTGTGTGTGTGTGTGTGTATGCATATATATGTGTGTATATATATATATGTGTATATATATATATATATACACATATATATATATACACATATATATATACACACACACACACATATATATATATATATATATATATATATATATGGTTTTTTTTCCTCTTTAAGCTACACCCCCACCACCTTCTGGTCCAATGCTTCAGTGCTTAAAGGGACGAGGGGAAAACTACAGAGGCAACATTGCGGTCACTAAGTCCGGGCTTACTTGTCAACGCTGGAACAGCCAGACACCTCATAAGCATAACCGGACCCCAGAAAACTTTCCCTGCAAGTAAGTCCCCAGTTGATGGCTGATGAATATAATATAGAAGAATGCAATTTCATTCATACAGGCCTTTATAATCACAGGTCATAGATTTTGAGAAAGAAGGAAACTTAGAGGTCTTCTTCAACCCTCTCTTTCCACAGATGGAACTGAGTTCTAAAAAGTTGGAGGATTTGACTAAGTCATATAGGTAGCATGTGACAGAGCTGGGTTTGGAACCTAGGGCTTCTTGACCTAGACCAAATTCAGTACTTGGTACTCAGGGTTGAAGACTTTAGGCATCAGAAAATAATGCAGACTGGCTGAGGCTTATGTAAGGAAGGGGGAAGGCTATATTAACTTGTGTGGGAGATAGGCCCTCCTTTCTATCTCCGTCTCCACCTCCATACTCATCCACCAGACCCTTCTGCCATTAATTCTGTGATAGTGGTGACTGATTCTTTAACATAAATAATAATCCCCAAAAGACTTATGTTAAGTAACCCTCACAAAGTCTAGATATATTCTTCATCCTCACACCCAAAAGGAGCTGCAATTGTATGTGAGCCCATTGCACTTAAGCTATACCTCTGGCATTTGTTCAACCCAGTGTGTCTGAAATTTCACTCCTTTGCTCAAGAAGCTTTAGTGGTTCCCTATTGGCTCATAGGGTAAAACACAAACTCTTCTGTTTGGCATTTCAAGCGTTTCACTGTCTCCAACTTACCTTTCTTTCCTTTTCCTTTTTTTTTTTTTGATGAGGCAATCAGGCTTAAGTGACTTGCCCAGGGTCACACAGCTAGTAAATGTGAAGAGTCTGAAGCTAGATTTGAACTCAGGTCCTCTTGACTCCAGGGCTGGTTCTCTATTCACTACACCACCTAGCAGCCCCTCCAACTTGCCTTTCAAAACTGATTACAAATTATTTCCCATTCACTCTCTATCCTCTACCTGCTGTTGCCTGTGTAAGGACAGTCTCTCTCCCACCTCCATACTTTTGCATAGGTTGTCCCTTATGCCTGGAATGCCCTCTTTCTTCATTTCAGCCTCTGGGAATCTCCAGCTGCCTTCAAGGCCCAGTCAGCTCAAGCATTACCACCGGAAGACCTCTTTTATGATTCCTTCTGTTAGTGCTCTAAACCCTTTGCCTTGCTCCATACATGTTCCTTCCTCCAGCAGAGCATTAGCACCCAGAGGTCAGAGCCTATATTGCTTTCACCCATACATTTCTAGTGCCTAGAACACAGGAGGCATCTAGTAAATGATTTCTGAGTTGAGCCATGTCATGGTGGGCACATACCTTCGGTGTCATGTATAAATCAGCCTGGTCATTAGAATGGCAAAATGTTTCCTGGCTGTTACTGATGCCAATTCAATTAACTTTCAACAAATTCTTTTCAGAGGTTTGGATGAAAACTACTGCCGTAATCCTGATGGGGAGTCACAACCCTGGTGCTATACCATCAGCAGTGAACTTAGGTGGGAATACTGTACCATACCTTCCTGTGGCTCTTCCCCTCCGCAGACGGAGACCGTGGGTAAGGGAGACTTCTGTGAATGACATGAGTGGTGGGGCCAAAAGGGATCGTGTGACTCCCCTTCCTCCAGTACCCTCCTACTTTACAGGTCTTTGTTCTTATTTTAATTCCAGTTATCAGGGAATAGAATATGTGCCTAAGAATTGTATTTGTAGAGCTGGGGGGGGGTTGGGAAACCCCATCAGCTGCATAGAAAATCCCATTTATTCCTTCAGTATGACAGAGATGTGTACAGGGTAGTGGAAAGAATATGGTACTTAGAGTCAGGAGATCTGGGTTTAAATCTCATCTCTGGTCCTTACAAGCTGTAGGATCATAGGCAAATCACTGAAACTCCTTGAGTGTCAATCTTCTAATCTGTAAAATGGGAACAATAATATTGATACCATCTACCTCACAGGGTTGTTGTGAAAGAAGCAAATGCTTTCTCTCTTTCCCAACTCCCGCCCTCACATTAGGGGTCTTGGACATACACATTGGTACTCCCTCAAATACTGTAACTTCCCAGTTCCTTGACTTCCTCATTTCCCATGATCTACTTTTCCACCCCACTTCATGTACACACGGAGCTAATCATACCCTTCATTTTGTGATCACCCACATGATCATGAACTCTGAAATTCAATTATCTGATCATTGTCATTCCTTTTTTTCTGATTAACCCCGTTCTTTATCCTCACTGTGGTCTCCAAACTTTTGGTTCTTTCCTAGGCCATCACCACTACACTGGCTACACCTTCTTCCCTTCTCTATCCTCACCCTCATGAACAAGCTTAACTCTCCATACCCTCTATCCTTTGCCCACTTAGCCTATTACTGACCATGCCTCGTGAGCTCCAACTTTAGGTTGCTCCTATGCATTACCTTTGCCCCTTTTCTCATGTTGCTGAACAAAGCTGGAGAAAGTCATAAAACCATGCTGATTTGGTCCACTAAAAATTTAGTTTACATAATCTCAAATGGGTCATCACTGTGGAAGTAGTGATAGTGAGGCCCAAAGGGTGGCCAAGAAGTGTGCGGAGTAGAATTACACACCCCTGGAGTTGAGGAGGTTGAAGAATTTCAGCCAAGGGGTCTGGAAGGAAGGTCATTCATATGGCTATCTCAGTCCCAGGGAGTGATGGCAGGGGACAGGATGGAGAGGATGACCGTGAGCCAGGTGCCAACATTACCGAAGAACGTGGTCCAGTGTTCAGGAGTTTGGTAGATAAAAGGAATGTGGATGGTTGGGAGAGAAGGTGAAGTATCTGGGAGAGGTTGAGTGATGAAAACGAAAAGACTGTTGGCAAATGACAGTTGAGAGAAAGGAGGAGCCCTACCCCCTTCCGTGCCCTTGGAATCAAGGGGAGTGGGAGGAGAAATGGTCTTCTTTTAAGAGCATTGATAAGAACACAGCATCCACTGACAGATGTCAAATTTCAGTTGCTTTGAAGAGGCAAAAGGAGTGCTTTAGTTAGAGTGGAAGGATGTAGGGGCATTTGTTTACAATAGAACAGGTCTTTTTCCCCTCAAAGGGCATTGTGGAAGAAGCTAATCAACGGTAGAATAAGCTAGTAAAGGGAAGAATAGGCCTAAGGAAGGAAGGTTAGGGCTGAATTGGATGGGGGTGAGTATACAGGAGAAGGTCAGGTTGCTCCAGGATAACAGCGATCACTAGCTTGAGAGGGAAACGTGTCGGCTGTACTTTGCTTCCTCTCCCAGTGCCTTGCACATTATTCTACACATAGCGGGTCCTTGTTGAATGCTTGTTGAGTTGTGGATGGACTTAAATTGAAGCAGGTGGCTGGGAGTTAGGCCAAAGCCAAAGGTTAGAAGGAGGAGGGCACAGTCTCAAGTGGGCAACACTGGGAAATGGTAAGAGCTTGTTGAATTCTTCATGCCCAAGGATCCCAATTAGCCTATTGGTTATTCCTGTTACAACCTGAGTCACCAGGACTTCTCATGCATTAGATGTCTATGAAACAATAAGTATTTTTGTCAAATTTCTTTTAATTCTACTGCAGTGCCCCCTGTGCAAATCCAAGAATGCTATGAAGGCAATGGACAAAGTTACCGTGGGACATCATCCACCACAATCTCAGGAAAGAAGTGCCAGGCCTGGTCTTCTATGATACCCCACCGACATGAGAAGACTCCGGATAATTTCCCCAATGCGTATGTCCACAATATTCACCAGCCAAGAATTTGGCCCAATATATCTGTTAGGGAAGCCCATAAGGGAAATAGGAAACTTAGATGCCCATCAGAAGAACTGCGTGTCAGCAGGCTCTCCACTAGTAAATTCTGCCCTTACTGGATTCCAGAATGTTCCTCATTCTGAGTGCAGGAGAGACAGGAGCTTTAAAAAGCTTGGTATGACCAGTTTTGGGGTGGAGAGGAAGTCTAATTTTAATGAAAAACTCAGAGGGGCACTCAGCATAAATTTTTGGGAGGATTCCAAGCCAAGGGCTCTTAAACACAAGGGCTGCTAGAACAGCCCCAATGTGTATGGTGATGGTATCATCTAATATGAAATGGTATCTTCATACCATGTAGCTTGGCTGCCCCAACAAAAGAGTTAATATGGTGAGAGGTGTCAAAGCCACTGGTGATCCTAAGTCCTGACACCTGTGAATGTGGGTATACAAAGATGTTTTACATGTTTTAGTAAGTGCATTGACAAGATAGAACGCATCAAAGAAGAGTGATTGCCATGGTAATGGGATCATATAGTGTGCCATATAGGAACTAGAAGAAAGAACTAGGGATGTTTAGCTTAGAGAAGGCAAGGCTTTGGGGACACTAGGATACCTGAATCCAAAGTATTTGAAGGGCTCTTATACAAACCAGTTTTAATTGGCACAAAAGGGTAAAATTGGATGTAATGGGTCAAGGTTGCTAAGGGGAAGATTTCAGCTTGATATAAGGAAAAACATCCCCAAAGTATAATGGGATGCCTTAGGAGGTAGTGGATTCTGTTTTACTGTGAACCTTCAAATAGAGAATGGATGACTACTTGTCCTGCCATACTGAGATTGTGAATTTGTATTATACACATTGTTATGTTCTGGGCCCTGGGCAGTAAGTACCAATTTGTGGAGATCAGGCAACGAATCAGAACTGGGAGAGCCAAGGCAGGCAGGCAGGTGCAAAGGAAGAAACAGAAGCAGGAGGGCAAGTGGGTCAAAGCTAGGCCAATAGAAAGGAGAAATAGAATTGATGCACCAGGGACAAGAGGACCTTGAAAATGATGTGAGGCTGCCTCAGACAGGAGGCCTTTGAAAGGGCTCCTGCTGTAGCAGGATCCAATAGCTTGCTCCCTAGCGTGTAAGGAGGCTAACACCTGCAGGTCAAAGCTGTTCGGTTGTAGCAATTCATCATGGCTCTCACATCCCTTCTCTCTCCCCACCCACCACACACACACACACACACACACACACACATTCACTCACTTACTCCCTCACTCCCTAACTCCCTCACTTACCCCAGAGGCCAAGCACAGTAGAAGAGTATAAAAGTATAGGTTGTTACCAAAGGTTAGTTTTTGTTGACACATAGTATCTGCTGCAACTGTAGGCGATTACTCCACAGCACATTTTTTCTTAATAAGTGGCAAACTATGAGTCAGAGCTTATGAGTCAAGTCATATTTCAGAGATTCATGATTCTGTCACCCTGGTGACTCCCACCCCTCACACAGGCTATAATGCCTTTTTGGCTTGGTGGGTTGGTCATTGGGGGTTGATGGGAACAAAACAACAATAACAATAATAATGATAGCATTTACAAAGCTTTAAGGTTTGCAAAGTGCTTTACATATATCACTCATTTAATCCTTACCACAACCCTGGGAGGCAAGTGTTAATTGTTATCCCTGTTTTACATATCAGGAAGGGTCAGAGGGTCAGAGGGTCACACAGCTAAGTGTCAGGCAAGATTTGAATTAGGACTTCTTGACTCCCAAGTCTAACAGGCTACTTGATGTATCACCTAGCTGGCTCGTCTCTTTGTGGCCTACCTGGTAATGAGCCTCTGAATTTATTTAGGATGCCAGACAAACAGTCTGTCACCAAGTCTGGCCATGAAACCTTTACAGGTTGGTGGGACGTGACAGAACTTGCAGTCTTCTGGCAAAGCCCTCAGGAACCCAGAGTCACTTCAATGCCTGGATGAAGCTAATAGGACTTGAATTACAGGCTATGAGTCATAGATCATGAGTCACATCATGTTTTATTAAAATGACCTCAGTAAGGAATGCTATGAGGGTCCATAGATTCATGGTTTTTGTAAAGAGGTCTGTAAGCACCCTCTGTCTTATGAATATACAGCTTAAAAATATGCCTCTTGCATAGATATGGCCCCTTGGGAGAAAGCTGGTTTGGAATCTTGGAAAATCAGAAATGTTATCATAAAGCCTCTATGACCAGGTCAAATTTAAATACATTTGTTAAACACCTACTACTACCATGGCTTTATACTAAGTGCCTGAGATGCAAAGACAGAAAGAAATAGTCTCGCCCTCATGTACTTCCTGCTGGGTCATAGTGCTGTCTTTGTATCTTTGATATAAAGAATTTGCAATTTATAAATAAGCACCCCTCTAGGAAAATTCTAACTGACACATGTTCCTATGTGACTTGAAATATTCTCTCATTATGAATAACAAAAACTGTCTTTGTTCTTGCAGTGATTTGAGACGGAACTACTGCAGAAATCCAGACGGGGACAAAAGTCCTTGGTGTTACACCACGGATCCCAGTGTCAGATGGGAATTCTGTAATCTGGAGAAATGTTCAGTAACAGGATGGAATCTCCCAAATGCCCAAACTACAAGCGTTCCTAGTGTAGATACAACTCCCCCCTCAGAATCAGGTAACTAAGCATCTTTTAGAGTCCTGCGTGCTTTGACACAGGGAAGGGGAAAGACAGACAAGTCTTTATGGGTAGAGAAGCCAAGAATGGGGAGATTAATGAACTTTAGCTATTAATATCTATCAGAGATGGAAAATGGGGTGGGACTTTGGCACTTAATATGGGAAGGGGAAAAGATTAAGAGTTTTAATGGTGGTGAGCTAAAACATATTATTCTAGGTTCTACTTTCATTATATATTCATCCTCTTCTCCAACCCCAAATCAAATGGCCATACAGAAACAGGGGCGATAGATTATATACTATCTGCCAGGGGCAAAGAACAGATGCTATCAGAAGGAAATTAGAAGTGATACCTATTTAATCTCAGAACAGGAACCAAAACCTAATTATGTATACACATGCATTCATGTATACATAAATTTATATACACACATATATTTATAAGTGTTACAGTGGATAAAGGGGACCTTTAGAGAAAGGGGACCTGAATTTTGAATTGCAGCTATTACTTACCATCAAGTGACTATGTGCAAATCATGTCCCCTAAACTCTAAAGTCTTAATTTTGGCACCTGTAAAGTAAGAGGGTTGGACTGGATTTAGTAATAATAATAATAATAATGATGATAATAGCTAACATTTATATAGCACTTACTAGGCACTGTGCTAAGTGCTTTACTATTATCATCTCATTTGATCCTCACAACAACCCTGGGAGGTAGGTGCTATTACTATCCCAATTCTACAGATGAGGGAACTGAGGCAAACGGGGTTAAGTGACTTGCCCAAGGTCACATGCCTAGTAAGTGTCTGAGGCTGCATTTGAACTCAGGCCTCCCTACTCCAGGCCCAGCACCCTGTCCATTGTGCCACCAAGCTGCCCCTTTCAGAGGCGCTCTCAAGTTCCTTCCAGTTCTAAATCTGTGATCTCTAAAGTACTTTCCAACTCAAAAACAGCATGATCCTATGGCTTTGTGAGAGGTAGTCGGGTATATTAAAAAGAGTGCTGGAATTGAAACCACAAACTATGTTTAATTTCTGTCTCTACCAGTTGGTAGTCTAATGACCCTCAAACAATCACTTAACCTCTGAGATGCCCTTTTTTGTAAACTGTGAAGCAATATGTGTGAATTATTATTGTTGTTATTGTGTTCTCTGGATTCATATACAGAAGCCACCCTTTCTGAGTCCTGCTCAAATTGCTGGCCCGTAATGGGGAAGGGGGCAGTAGAAATTGGGGAAGGTGATTAGAATCTTAAGAACCATTCAAAACCACCAAAACAGTTGGTTGATTGAATATCGCTGAATTCAAATATCAATACACCCTGAAAGAGCCCTTATTAGCAATGTAAATATGAAATCACTTGTCCTTGGAATGAGAACAATAAACAAAACTTTGAACCACACACTAAGAGGTATTTGTGAAAATTTCAGGATTTGATAAGTGTTTGTAACTGACCCCAGAGAAAGACAGAATTCAATTCCATTCAAAGTTTATTAGATCTGAATTAGTGCTGGAGCAAGGGCTACTCACAGAATCATAGAATTTAAGAGTTGGAAAGGACCTCTATTGAGGGCCATGGAATCCAACCCACCCATGAAGGAATCTCCACTATAACACCACCCAAGTGGTCATCCAGCCTTTGCTTGAAGAGCTCCAAAGTGGCAACTCTCTAAGGCTAAAAGTTGCAGAACCTCTGCTGACCTGCATTTGTAGAATCACCTTCCTCACTGGGAGTTCCCTACCAGATCAATCATGGTGTCACAATCCACACAGATACTCCCATGTGTTGCCTCTTAAAGATCACAACAAGCCTCCCTTACTGTTTTCAGTCATGTCTGACTCTTCTGACCCCATGGACCACAGCATGCAAGGCCCTTCTATCCTCCACTATCTCTCAAAGTCTGTCCAAGTTCATAACCCTCACTTGGGTAATGAAATTATTATTATCCTTCTTCAACATAGGGGAAAACCAAGTCTCAGAGAAGGAAATGAGTGACTTCCCAAGAGCCACACAGCTATGTGACAGACTAGGTAGACCATACCGTATCCTCTAACTCTGTGCCCAATGTTTTCTCCACTTCATCACTACTTTGATAAAAAAAAAATGCAGAGGAAGGGGAGCCTAGACCTAGACTCTAATTGCCTGTACTCCTCATTTTAGGCACTAGCCTGTTCGAAAAAATTTGTATTTATTTTGATTATTCTAATCAAATTAGATGATTCTAATCTAATCATTTCCACTTAGAGAACCAAAGATGGACAAAAAGAGACACCCTCATGACTGAAAATTTCTCACGCTCCCACCATGTTCTGGCTACAATTTATGATATTCTCAAAACAGTAGAAAAATATTCCACAACTAGATAAAACATATCTATAGGAGTCAAGGAAAGTTCGGTTAATAGTTTGCTTGCTCAAACAGGACAGTCAAGACTTTCAGCAGGACCTTGGAGAATCATTTTCCTAAAGTCATTTAATCCTTCTTTGACCATCCCCATCAAGGATTCTGCTTTCCAGCTGGCCAAAAGGGGAACTCAAGAGATGCTTTCATTACTGGAAGTAATTTAAAAGATTTCTTTCCAGGGGACTCCTTGCCCTCGTCCAATCACTGTCCATATTACTTCGGGGTGGGGTCTTTTCCTGGGCTGGTCTAGAAAAAGGGGAGAATGACATTGCTTTGGAATTGATATTCAAGGACTAAAAAGATTTCTCTTTCACATAAACCCAAAGGCTTCAGATTAGGATAAATTTCAGTTTTAAATGGCTTCCTCAGCATCTTGGCTCTGACACTGTATGACCACGATAATTCAGGCTCTTACCACCTCTTGACTGGACTGCTACAATAGTCAACTATTTGGTATCCCTGCCTCAAGTCTCTCAGCTTCAATCTATTCTCCACTCAGCTGCCAAAATGATTTTCCCGAGATGCAGCTTTCTCTTGAAGTAGTTCTCTCCAATGATTTAAAAATGTATTCAAGAATTCTCTTCCAATTAAACAAGCGTACATCACTTACTAGCTATGTGATGCTGGGCAAGTCAACGCTGTTTGCCTCAGTTCCTCCTCTGTATGGTGAACTGCTCCAATGTCTGCCAAGAAAACCCAGCATGGGGTTCACAAAGAGTCAGGCATAGCTGAAACAGCTCAGCAAAAGTAGGTTACGCTGTGGTCCTCTGGCTCGAAATTTTTTTTTTGATGAGGCAATTGGGGTTAAATGACTTGCCCAGAGTCACACAGCTAGTGAGTGTTACATGTCTGAGGTCAAATTTGAACTCAGGTCCTCCTGACTCCAGGGCCAGTGCTCTATCCACTGTGCCACCTCAGAGCTCTTTCTACCATGTTACACCATCTCACTAGGATTATTCTGTGAAATTCTGTAAACTGTTTTTCTATCTCCAATTTCTAGGCCAATAAGCTCTTTTGACAGCTGGTCAGAATAACAAATATGAATCAGTATTTCTTGTTCAGAATTTGTAGGAGGATCTGAATGTTTAGCCTGTCATCTAACACAAACCAGTCCCTGGGGTGGGGAGGGAGGTGTGTGCTTTTCAATCACTGCTGGAAAGTATATGATGACACATTCTTTTCCTTTTTTATGCAGACTGTATGTTTGGGAGTGGTAAAGACTACCGTGGCAAAAGATCAACCACGGTCACTGGCACCTTGTGCCAGGCCTGGACTGCACAGGAACCTCACACACATGGTATTTTTACTCCAGAGACATATCCAAGGGCAGGCCTGGAAAAAAATGTAAGCAGCACCAATTCATTTTTTATTCTTGCAGAATTTCTTTTTTAAAAAATTCTTTTAAAAATTAATGAATGCTTATTTTCTCTCTCTCTGCCATCTCCATCCCACAAAAGAAAAAGAAAACCCTTCTAACACACATGCTTTAATCCACAGCTTAATTCCTGTAATCAAGGGGATTGTTAGGTTAAGGCTGGGCCTGTTATTTGGGAGCTGAAGAAGGAGAATGAGGCAACTAGAGGCAGTTAAAATACAAGGGCATACAAAATATTACCAGGGCTTGTGTTCCCTGGGGAATGGAAGATTTGTTGTTTCTTTTGACACCTACCTTGAAGAGTTCTACATATTTTTAAAATCATAAGTATACAACTAGAAGGAACTTTCAAAACCATTTAATCCAACCCTCTGATTTTACACATGAGGAAACTATTCTAGAGGACTCATGATGAAACATGATACCTCCTGACAGGTGATGAATTCAGAGTACAAAATGAGATCTACATTTCTTTGAACATGGCCATGTTCACGTGAATGTGGCCACATAACAGCTATGTTACGTGGATTTGTTTTCTTTCCTTTTCAATGGGGACAGGTAGGTTGGGAGGGAGAGAAGGTATATTTTTGTTAATTAAAAAATAAAATTTAATAAAAATAAAATAAAATAGAGATGAGGAACACAGAGGCCTAGAGGGATAAAACCCAACGTCACATTGATGACAGGCCCAGGACTCAAACTTATGTCTTCTGATGTTAGCTCTAGAGTTCTTTATCATGCACCATATAATGTTTGTCTTTGAAGTCTATTTTAACCTGTTAAAATGGGCATGGTGAGGTGAGCTCCCCAAGTACCTTACCTTATTACTGATGTGATTTTGCCATAGTTTCACACCTTCCTTAAAGGATAGCTTTTCTGGGGGGGATGACAATAGGGTGCGTGGGGGGAGGGGGGCTTCCAAGATGTCATTTGGTAGCATATATTTTTGCCTCTTTAGGACTCAATTTCCTCATTTGGGAAATGAGAAAGCTGTGTCAGGAGATCTTGAATGTCCTCCCTTCCACTTCTAAATCCTGTGACCTCTGAGTACACAGGAAACAGCCCTCACCTGGAGAAATATTACTGAAGTGAACCCAAGGCAATGCCAAGTCACCAATTCCCCTTCTCCCAAGTCTGTGCCCTCCTTGCTGCCCAATAACTGATCATTCCTAAGAAGTGGATAAAGTGTTCACTCCTGGATACCCTCACTCACAACATTAGTGTATTACAAGTCTCTCTCTCTCTCTTTTTTTTCCTTCCAGTACTGCCGTAATCCTGATGGTGACCCCCAATGGTCCTTGGTGTTACACAACAAATCCTAAAAAGCTCTTTGACTACTGTGACATCCCCCAGTGTGGTAATTCACTTTCCTCGCTTTTCTCTTATTTCTTTTTTTTTGGGGGGGGTTTGAGGCAATTGGGGTTAAGGGACTTGTCCAGAGTCACGCAGCTAGTTAGTGTTATGTGTCTGAGGCCAGATTTGAACTCAGGTTTTCCTGACTCCAGGGCCAATGCTCTATCCACAGCACCACCTAGCTGTCCCTTTTCTTATTTCTTAAAACCTTTAAAAGAAGTAAGAATAACTTCTTAGTCACATTTTCAAGTTTCTGTGTAAGATAGTTGAATCTTGTTGAATGACAAGAATTTTGTCACAGGATGGCCTTTTATTCTCCACAGGAGGGTCTACTTGACCTACTACAGACCCTTCTCTAGGTGTCTTAACATTGTAGGGAGGGCAATGGAGCATATGAGCTTTCGCAAGATCAACAGCTCACTTCTTTTCCCGACCATAATAATATCCCAATAACATTATTTCTATCACTTCTGTGCAATTCTGCATTGGAACGGACTGTCAGTTAGGTACTGCAGAATGGTCTGAAAGGTTCTGTGTGGTCTATTCATGTTGACCACGTACCTCGCTGCCCTTTGAGTGACCTATGGCTTCCATTCTTTAGAATTCAAACTATTTCATGACAACCAACCACACAGCATCATGGAAAAATATTTATATTTAAGAGATGAGCTTTTGATTCATTTGGTAGAACTTTGGGGTCATTCAAAGCACTACACAATTTCCCCCAATTGCAACCCAGTCTCCTATGCTCCTTCTATTCAATTTTATTTTGATTTATACTTCTCTCCTTCTCCTGAATTAAGCCTTTGTGCCAGAGCCAGGGAAGGCCCCTTGCACACTTAGCTAATGTAATCAGTCCTCTTGGGTCTCCTGGGTCATGAGATCACCTCTACCTCTTACAGTTAGATAGTGCCTCCTCTATCTCTGAGCTTCACAGCACTGGATCTTTAGGGTCCTCTCTGGAGTCTCAGGAAAAAATGTTAAGGACCTCAGACCCCCGATGCTAGGCTGTTTCAATCTGAGTGCCATCCCTATCATTTCTTAGTCAGTTGCTCCCTAGGGTTTTCTTGGGGAAGCCCTCTTCTCTTGCTGCATGTGGACACAGAGACTCACAGGCTAAAGATATTTCAGTCCTTCTGGGAAGTCACTCAACTTTGATAGTGGCTTTGCTGGCAGATCCCCTTTCCTATTGGCTGTGGGCTTCTGGCTGATTTTTTCTTCAGTTCTGGAGTAGAAAAAGTCACTTTTCATTGAATTTATCCATCATTATTAGGTCTGATACAAAATAAGTAATTGGGAGTTGGACAATCCACCACCAGTTCAGGCAGCCATTTTGGCTAGAAGATAATTTCTTTGGAAATCCAGGATGCTGTGTTGTCTACTACCAATTTGGAAGGTTTTTAATGGGTCTTTTCCAAAGATGTTTGTGGTACTTAGATGATATTTTCTGTTTTGACCCTTACTTTTTAATCATTCTTGAATTGAATGATAGAACTGACAACTTCCCTTTCAAAAGCCCTCTTTTTCCTTCCTTAAGTCTCACCAACTTCATTTGACTGTGGAAAACCCAGAGTAGAGCCACAGAAATGCCCAGGAAGAATTGTGGGTGGGTGTTATGCTCAACCCCACTCTTGGCCCTGGCAGATCAGTCTCAGAACAAGGTAAGATGCTCTACTTAACAGTAAACCATTCCATATATTCCTTCCAAGCAAGACTTTTATTCACATACTTACATTTAAGTATATACTGACATTTCAGAAGAAAGTAACTTAATTATCCATAGGAAGGTAAGATGGAAGATCAAACTAACCAAAACATTCTCCTTACTTGCTACGCTAACCCCCCCTCCACCATCCCCCCCCAAAAAAAATCCATACAAAGGGATAAAAGAGTGCTATTAGCCAATCTCCTTTGGAATGGAAGCTCCTCCTAGTGGACAGAGCTTGAATATGTTCTCAAGGAATCCAGGATCCAAAATCTACTCAGTCTTAGCGATGAACCAACAAATAAATCCCCCCAAAACTGTTACTGATGATCCAGCTTTGTTTCAACAGCACAGTTATTTCTGAATATGCCTCCCTCCCACCCCACCCTCAGATTTAGTCTTTCCTTTTCACTAAAAATAAAGTTAACAAAAATAGTGATCTATTTGACACCTTGTACAACATCCTTCCCTTAGTTCCCAGTCTCTCCTGAGACAAACATCCAGTCAATCAGTAATAAAAATAAAGCTAGAGGAATGTTGATAATTTCTGTATACTATTTTGACATCTTAAGATAGTGATAAGAGGAAGGGAAATAAGCATTTATATCACAATTATTATCTCATTTAATCCTCACAACTCTTTGAGGGGGCAGCTAGTGTATAGAACTCTGGGCCTGGAGTCAGGAAGACTCATCTTCATGAGTTCAAATCTGGCCTCAGACACTTACTAACTGTGTGACTCTGGGCAAGTCATATAACCCTATTTGCCTCAGTTTCCTCATTTGTAAAATGAGCTGGAGAAAAAAAACAGCAAGTCACTCTAGTATCTTTGACAAGAAAACCTCAAATGGGTTTACAAAGAGTAGGATACAACTCAAAAACAACTAAACAACAACATAGTTGAGGAAAGTAAGGCAAACAGAATTTAAATGACTTGCCCTGGGTCATACAGCTGGAAAGTATATGAGGTTAGATTTGAACTCTGTTCTTTATGACTCCAGGCCCAGCACTCTATCCATTGCCCAGCTAGCTTCCCTGATACAGACTGAACCTGTATTTCATTGGAAAAGAAAAATATACTAGATGATGAAATTTTCTCTTCTAATCCAAGTAGGTACCTTCTCCAATCTATAGTCTTAGAGAGCTGCCTGGGCTTATCCAGGGTCACATAGCCAGTATATGTCAGATGTTAAGACTTGGATCCAAGTTTTCCTGGCTCTGAGGCCAGCCCTCTGTCTACTATGCCCTGTTGCCTTTCAGATCTTTGGACCTATTAAATAGTTCATTTTCACAGCACGTCCTGCCATCCAAATAGTCGATGTTCTAGGGAATGTCTCCAAGAAACAAGATGTCTAGGTTGAAATTGGCAAAATTCCCTAAAAGACTATCCCTTGGGGACATCTTTTGCTCCCTATGAAATGATCTTGATGGATCTTAGCAAAAGTCTCAGAAATAAGACCTTTGTCATAAGCCTGTGGCTGGTTGTCTCTATTAGAGCAGAAAGCACCATGGATTCAAGCAACCTCTGTTTTAGGGGCACTTAGGTATGGCATGTTCCACAGTGAATGACCAAGGACATAACACCTATGGGCCAACTGACAAATCCTGGGGGCAGGGTTGGGGCTGGAGCTGATCCGACAAGAACATAAATCAGGAGAGTGCTGGGAGATGTTAAACTCCCTGAAAACTCACTGCATTGTGAACATTTTCTTCATTGCTTTAAGTCTAGACAATCAACAAAACAATAAATCGAGACCTGATTTGCAGGATTTATTGATTTCTGAGGTGTAACAAGCACTCCCACTGAAAATGTAATAGTTGGCTCACCTGAGCCTGTGGAAGCTGGCTCCAGCACACCCCTGGTAGGGAAGATCATTAGCAAACCACCCAGATGTGACAACTCCTAGTTAGCCAATGAGAAGCCAGTGTGGAAAGTGGGCTAGATGTGGAGTCAGATACCTCACAGGTTCAGATCATAGTTGATGCTTACTACCTATGTGACATTTACCCTTTCTGGGTCTCAGTTCCTCATCCGTAAAATGGAGGGGGGGGGGGTTTGGACTTAAATGGCCTCTAAGGCATCATCCAGCTCTAAATTTAACATAAACTCTGAATCAGGAATTCATGAAACTCTTAGGAGATATCTTATGATGTAAGGAAAAGAGTATATTGGTGTGCTTGCTGTCTCAGGGAGGGGAGAAGGGAAGGGAGGCAAGGATAGAATTTGGAAGTCAAAATTTAAAGAAAAAGAATGTTAAAATTGTTTTTACACGTAACTGGGAGAAAAATAAAATATTATTTTTTTTAAAAGATACTAAAAAAAACCCATCCAGAAAATTTCCAATGCAAGAAAACTGATATGAAGTACATAGCCCATTGATAGTGGGTGTCAGAATAGAAAGAACTCTGAATGGGAAGCAAGCAGTCCTGTGTTCTAGTCTCTAGCTGAACCCTTGGGTCATTCTGAACCCAAGGCTCTTCATATCCTATCTAAAATGAGGGGATTGGATGCCATGATTTTTAAGAGTCAGCCAGTGGTCAACAAGCATTTATTAAGCACTGACTATGTGCCAATCTTTAAGAGTCAGCCAGTGGTTAACAAGCATTTATTAAACACTTACCATGTACCCATCTTTAAGAGTCAGCCAGTGGTCAAGAAGCATTTATTAAGCACTTACCATGTGCCAATTTTAAGGAGTCAGCCAGTTGGCCAACAAGCATTTATTAAGCACTTACCATGTGCCAGGCACAGTGACTAGAGCCTGTGCTCTAGACCCTTCTAGCTTTGAATTTCTAAGATTCTTTTATATGTAGGAAGAACAGTATGGTTTGTTATATGGTCAGCCATAGCTGCCTTCCAACATGTTAGTAGGAAATGAACAATCAGTTCTTCAACTTAAACCTGCCTCTCTGTTCTAGGTTTGGCGAGCACTTTTGTGGAGGTACCCTCATAGCTCCCCAGTGGGTGCTGACAGCTGCTCATTGCCTGGAACGGTAAGCTGGCTGCTAGTAGTAATAACTGCTAAGCAGTCCTGAGAACTATTACCTTCAGTGTAGAGAGCAAGTTCAGGCAAGCTTGTGAGTCTAAGGGAGTGGCAGGATCAAAGCATTCAGTCATTCACAGACCTGAGGTGCTATGGTCCATGGGGTCAAGAAAGTCCGATGTGACTGAAGGACTGAACAACTACAACAAATGGCATGTTTGTCCCCAATTTCCTTAAGATAATCAGCACGCATTCCTGTCATCCCCTTACTGTTCCATTCTCCCTTCAGATAGCGGCAACATCAGGGACACAGGTTTGTATATCCCTGCTCACTCCTGACATTCCTTGACTGACAAGGAAGGGCAGGAATGATGATGCAAAACCCACAACTTCCTTTCCTGCTAGTCAGATATCTGTAATGCATTTATCCAATTATTTATTAAATGTTCATTAAGCTCCTAGTAAATGCAAGGCAGAAAAGCAGATAAAAAACTTTCCGGATCTCAAGCAATTTTTATAATTTGATTGGGGTGGGGGGAGGGTGAAAAAAGGAGTGAAATAAGTGCAAAAGAGAGATCCCAGAAAATCATGATGAGACATTTGAGAATCAAGGAACAAGCATTTATTTTAAATGAGTACTATGTGCTAAGCACTGTGCTACAAATAAAAAAAAAATGAAATGGTCCTTGCTTGCAAATAGCCTGCATTCTATCATATGGCTATACATCTTTGATGTGGGAGCAGAGTGGAGGACAGAGAAGTGTTTAGGTGAGGCCTCAAGGAAGAGATGGCATCCAAGCTGGAACTTGAAGAGAAACACTTCACCGTTTGGTGATGGTGCCAGGGGAAGGTCTCTTCAAGGCATGGAGGGACTTCAGTGAACAGTGGCAAAGAGGGAGAGGGAGAGGAAGAGAGAGAGAGAGAGAGAGAGAGAGAGAGAGAGAGAGAGAGAGAGAGAGAGAGAGAGAGAGAGAGAGAGAGAGAGAGAGAGAGAGAGAAGGAGAAGAGGGGAAGAGGGGAGGGGAAAAGGGTTGGGGAGAAAAGAGAAAAGGAGAGGAGAGAGAATGACAAGATGGGATGTAGAGTAGCCCAGCTGGTTTGGAAACTAGAGTCCCTGAAGGAGGTCTTGCCTATTAGCATAAGGATTTCATGCTTTATTCAGTGGGTACTGGCGAGCCATGGAAGAGTCTTTGAGTAGAGGAAAGTGACATGGTCCTGGTAGTACAACAGGAAGGTACTGTCTACTAGGGCAATAGGGTGAACTTGGCTTTTGAATAAAGACAGAATCCAAAGCAGAATGCCAAAGGTTTATTTAGGAGGATAATTTCTGTCCCCAGGGTGGTTCTTCAGGAACAACATGCCCGGCTTTAATTGTCTTTTCCATTACAGCTCCAGCAGGCCTGCCTCATATAGAGTTGTCTTGGGGCTCCACAAGGAAGTTCCTCCAGAATCATATGCTCAAGAAATAGGAGTTGCTGCGATGTTCAAGGCATCCTATCGTGCAGACATAGCTTTGCTGAAACTGAACAGGTATTGATTCACCCATGGCAATATAACAGGTCTGTTTCATCCTAGATGTCATCAGGCAAAAACAGCTGCAGCAGCAGGGTAAGTGGGAGATCCATCATGGCAGGTGCTCCAGGGCAGCCAACTGGGACCAGGACAAGAGAGCCGGTTGTTGAATTTTCAGCGTGAGCATTTATGCTTCAGAAATCACTGCAACTCAGTATTTGATTTATTGTTTTACTGACTGCCTGGACTTAAAAGCATGTTGATTAAAATTAAACTTAAAAATGTGTGTTATTTCAGTAATCCTTACAACCCAGTGAAGTGTTATTATGACCGTTTAACAGATGAGGAAACTATGGACAGGGAGGATTAAGAGACTTTGCCTAAGTCAACAGCAAGGTTTCTATTACTATAGCTGGAGTCAGTCAATAAACATTTATTGAACATCAGGCACTGAGCTCCAGTGCAAAGAACTGGAGAGATAAATAAGAAAAAGAAAGATAACCCTTGCCCTCTAGGAGCTTACAGCCTAATGGAGGAAGACAATACACACAAAGAAGCTAGAAAGGGAGGAGGGAGGAGGGAGAAGGAAAGAGGGAAGATAGAAAAGTCCAAAGGACTATGGCCAAGTGAGGAAATATAAAGATGGCTGACCTGAGCACTTTCTTTATTTTTTTATTTCTTTTTTTTTAACTTATTTTTAGTTTTCAACATTCACTTCCACAAGGTTTTGAGTTCCAAATTTTCTCCCCATCTCACCCCTCCTCCCACCCCAAGATGGCATGCATTCTGGATACCCCTTCCCCTAATCTGCCCATCCTTGTATCTCTCCACCACTTCTCTTATCCCCTTCCCCTTCTATTTTCCTATAGGGCAGAATAGATTTCTATATCCCATTTCCTGTATTTCTTATTTCCCAGTTGCATATGAAAACAGTTTTTTTAACATGTGTTTTTAAAACTTTGGGTTCCAAATTTTCTCCCTTCCTCCCTCCCCACCCACCTTCACTGAAAAGGCAAGCAATTTGATACAGGTTATACATGCGTAGTTATGTAAAACACTTCCATAGTTGTCATGTTGTGAAAAACTAACTCTATTTCCCTTAATCCTATCCCATCCCCCATTTATTCTATTCTCTCTTTTGACCCTGTCCCTCCTCAGAAGTGTTTGCTTCTGACTATCCCCTCCCCTTATCTGCCCTCCCCTCTATCACCCCCCCCCTGCTCTCTTGTCCCCTTCCCCCTCTATTTTCCTGCAGGGTGAGATAGATTTCCATACCCAATTGAGTGTGTATGTTATGCCCTCCTTAAGCCAAATCCTACGAGAATAAGAGTCACTGACCACTTTCTTTAAAAGGAGAACTCATCTATTTAAGTTTTTAAAAGTTAACCAGTTTAATAAAAAGGTCCTGGGTACCATTATTTAGGAATAAAAATTATTTCATTAAGCAACTTTGGGGTGGAGAGAGAGGCCTATATGGACTTAGGGCTTACCATTGCATTTAGAGAGACAGCATACACCTTACTGGTCAGTAGAAAGACTGGAAATAATAGCATTGGAATACAACAACTGAAAGAACCTTGGTTTTTTTGCTTTGTTTTGTTTTTTACTTCCAGCCCTGCTAACATCAATGATAAAGTAATCCCAGCATGCTTACCTTCACAAGATTTTATGGTGCCTGACAGAACACTCTGCTATGTCACTGGCTGGGGTGATACCCAAGGTGAGAGAAATTCTACAGCATTAAGACACAATTGGCCTTTATCTATTTTTTTTTGGTGAAATAGTCTATATTTTGGTGTCTTCTCGTTGAGAAAATGATCATATTTCTGAATACAAATCTGTATTTCTGAATATCATTCATTTACCTCTTTACTATTCTTTTTAGAATATGTCGTTTTCAGAGACATCAAGTCAGTCTGCGTCAAAATAAATGAGAATTTATTAAGCCCTTTCTATGTGCCAGGCACTGTGCTAAGCATCAGGCATGCCAAGGAAGGCAAAAAAGACAGTTCCTGCTCTCAAGAAACTCGTGGTCTAATAGTAGCAACAACATGAAAAGAGTTATCTACATCCAAGAGATTTACCCTCTAAACGGGAAATAATTTCAGAGGGAAGGCAAGGGCAGTGTTTCCTAGATATGTCCTCCTCGTGGAAGCTTCCAAAGGATCATATAACTTTATGTTTAGAGCTGAAAGGGGCTTTGAGGCCAACTAGTACAAGCCTTTCAGATGAGGAAACTGAAGCTCAGAGATTTGAAATGGCTTGCCCAAAGTTCACAAAGGTAGGAAAGAATAGAGCTGGCATTAGAACCTGTGTCATGGGTTCAAATGTTAAGGGCTTGTCTAAGTCACCCGACACAGTTTCTGTTACTATAGCTGGAGTCTGTCAATAAACATTTTTTTAAATGTTTGTATTATATTTTTAATATCTTTTAAATTAATTTATTTTTAGTTTTCAACAATCACTTCCATATGCTTTTGAGTCTTAAATTTTTCTCCCCCTCCCTCCCACCTTCCCTCCCCAAGACAGTATGCAATGTGATATAGGCTTTACATATACATTCCTATTAAACATATTATCACATTAGCCAAGCTGTAAGAAAGAATTAGAACCAATAGGAGGAACCACCAGAAAGAGCAAATCGTATGCTTCGATCTACATTCAAACTCCATAGTTCTTTCTCTGGATGTGGTCAATAAACATTTATTAAATGCCACCTGTGTGCCAGGCACTATGCTCCAATGCTAAGCTCTGGAGAAAGACAGCCCCTGCCTTCTGGGAGCTTTTAGTCTAATGGGGGAAGACAACATATGAAAAAAAGACAAGGGGGAAGGGGGAGAAACAAGCTCCCTGATTCTAAATCTAGTCTTTCCTACTGTACCATGCTGACTCCTCAAAAGTTTTAATACTGTTTCTTTAGCCTTTGACACAAGCTTGGTGATTTTTTTTCAGTTTGTAGAATCTTTATTCCTGTCTCTAGATTATAAAGTCCTAAGCAGCCAGACAATAAGCATTTATTTACTATCTACTAGGCACTAGGCATTGTGCCAAGTGTGAGGGACGCAAAGAAAGACAAAATACAGTCCCTGTTCTCAATAAGCTCACAGTCTGAGAGAGACAATATGCAAACAACTACGTACAAAAAAATTCTACATAGGATAAATTGGAAATAATCAACAGAAGGAAGGCACTAGAATTAAGGGGAATCTTGAAAGGCTTCTTGTAAAAGGTAGGATTTTAGTGACGACCTGAAGGAAGCCAGGGACACCAGAGGGGGAGATGGGAAGGTACAGAGTTCCGAGCATGAATGACAGCCAGGGAGAATGTCTGGAGTTGGGAGATGGAGTATCTTGTCTACAGCAAGAAGGCGAGTGTCACTGGATTCAAGAGGATTTGGAGGGGAGTAAGGTAAGAAACGACTGGCAAGGTAGGAGGGAGCCAGGTTACAAAGGGCTTTAAGAGCCAAACAGAGGATGTTCTGTTCAATCTCAGAGGTAGCAGAGAGCTGCTAGAATTTATTGAATGGGGTGGCGGTGGAATTATGGTCAGGTCTGAGCATCAAGAACATTAGTTTGCCAGCCAAGCGGAGGATGGACTGCGCAAAAGAGAATGGAGACAGAGAATTATTGTTGTGTAGCTGTTGTTACTGTTGTGGTTTAGTCGTGTCTGCCTCTGTGACCTCCAAAGAAAACAACCAACTGGTTCTTATAATAATCCAGGCTTGAGGCGATCAGGGCCTACACCAGGGTGGTAGTAGTGTCAGAGGAGAGGGAAAATGGCACATATGACAAACGTAAAAAATCAGCTGGGCTTGGCAAACAGACTGGATACAAGTGGCGAGAGAAAACGAGGAGCTGAGGATGACGCCTAGGTTGTCAGCCTGGGAGACTGTGAAAATCGTGGTGCCCTTGATGGGAATAAAGAAGTTAGGAAGAGAGGGAGATTTGTTGGGGGAAAGACAATGAGCCCTCAGATTTTAGTTTTGGAAGTGACCTTAGAGACGGAAGAATTGAACCCCCTACTCTCATGCAGGAATTCGCTACCACCCTCAGTACTAACTGGCACATATCCCTAACAAGTGATCCTCTCTGTTTTAAACTCTTCCCTCATAGATAATTCACCACCAAATAGAAATGCCCTAGATTAATAATCATAATAACAATGGCTAGCATTTATATAGTTCTTCAGGGTTCGTAAAACAAAATTACAGGTTTCTCAGTTTATATTCACAAAGCTCTGGGAGGTTGGATGCTACTATCATGCTTGTTTTACAGATGAGAAAACTACAGTAAACAGAGGTTAACAGATGTGCCCATGGTCACACAGCTAATAAATAAATAGCCGAAATGTGATTTGAACTTGGGTCTTTCTCACTCCAGGTCCTGGAGGGTTTGCTTTCCTCCAGGTCAGCCAACCTATGCTTCTGCGTCTTGTTCCTAAAGACCAAAAGTCTTATTCCATACCTCATTAGAAGGTGGAGAGTTGAGCAAGGGTTTTTGATGAGTTTCACAACAGAGAAGAAATACCATTTGATATGAACTTTTTGAGTGCAGGGACTATCTCTTTCTTTTCTTTCTACCCTCCGGGCTTAGAAAAACACCTGACACATAGTAGGTGCTTAATAAATGCTTTTTGACTGCCTGGCAGGTCTCACTAAACTGAAGAGGCACAGTGACATACTGTAGTTTGAATTTGGATGGGTTCATCAGCAAGTTGAGAGTACTACAAGTGATTAATGCATTTTCAGTCATTATGAGGGTCACCAACAAATGAAGCCTACCTACTGACATTCCAGTCTGTGAGGGTGGAATGCAAACACGGATCTTTTGAAGCACTGAAGTGACTTGCTTAATATCACATAGCTAGTAAACTGGCAGATGCAGGATTTGAACCCAGGTCTTCTCACTTCTAATCCAGCCTTCGATACCACACTCCCTCCCTTTCTGATCATTCATGAAAGGCTAATTAAATCTTTCTTCCCTGACAATGCTTAATGTGGTAGAATTGGCACTTGACTAAAAGTCAGTACTGGTTTCTTTGCTTTGTAGTAATTCTGCCACTAGCTCTTGCCCTGGGATATTCAACTAGACTTGAACTACCTGTGTGATTTTGGCCATTCTGAGGTCGCCTCTCTGGGCTTTTCCCTATTAACAAGGTGATTGAACTAGTTGGTTTTGATCATTTGACTTGTCATGATAAGAACTCATAAGTAAGACTTCATTTCTACCAAATCTACAATTCTGTGGTTGTTGACCTGTTCTTTACCTTTCGCTCTATTAAAAAAAAAATCACCATATTCTTCTTTGCAGAACTTCTCAATCCATTCCTTTTCAGGAAAAGTGAAATGGTGGCTGATACCTGATAGATATATAAAACAGTCTCAAAAACCATTCTGAAATGCTTTCCCTTCCCCAATAACTAGGCAGCTCTCCCTTCCCTTCCCTTCCCTTCCCTTCCCTTCCCTTCCCTTCCCTTCCCTTCCCTTCTCTTCCCTTCCCTTCCCTTCCCTTCCTTCCCTTCCCTTCCCTTCCCTTCCCTTCCCTTCCCTTCCTTCCCTTCCCTTCCCTTCCCTTCCCTTCCCTTCCCTTCCCTTCCCTTCCCTTCCCTTCCCTTCCCTTCCCTTCCCTTCCCTTCCCTTCCCTTCCCTTCCCTTCCCTTCTATACTTCTGGCCTTGCCTCCTCCCCATTGTAAGGTCTGCCCTTACCTAGCTGTCACAATAGAGTAGCCTGTTTACCCACTTTCTATAAAATAATAATTAGATAAATAATTCCCAGTACACGTTTTAAGGGAGTAAAAAAGAGTAACAGATTTGAAAGAAAGATCTGAGTTCAAATTCTGGGTCTAATATTTATTAGTTGTGTGATGGAGGGTAAATCACTTTCTGAAACTCAGTTTCCTCATTGGTAGAACGAGGGCATTAATGGCTGGCCAAGGTTATTATGAGGAATGTGAACCTTAAAAGTAGCATCTAAACATGTGGAATGATTAATTTTCATGCTTCTTTCTATTATTTTCAAAAGACTCCCCTGCTTTTGAAACTATGAAGTGTGTTGAAATTGAGGGACCCCTCCCAGCTTACACTCATAATAATTTACTAATTTAATTATTGTTAATTTTCTTAATGTTAATTTGATAGTGTTGCACTGGGTTTTCTCCCCTCCCCCAACACCAAATTTGCTTCTGCAGAGCACACACCCCACCTCCTCTTTGTCTCTCTTTTGGCCACAAGATGACAGTATCCTCACACAAACAATTTCACCCACTAACAAAGACCTCGAAAGTTAATTGCTCGAATACTCATCAGGATGAAGGAAAGTACGTTACTGTATCCTAGTAATAATAACCATACCCCTGTATATTATGCTGGAAGCTTTACAAACCACCCTATCCAAGAGTTGAATAGTAATAGCTTGATTTTATAGATGGGGATACAGAGATGGGTTAAGTGACTTGGTCTTGGGATATTCAACTAGTAAATATTGAACACTAGATTTGAACTCAGATCATCTAGTTCCAAGTTCAGTGCTCCATTTACTTCATTCCTTCTTGCTGAATGAGCAATTGTATAAAATCAGATTTGAGATTCCATTGGTAGATGGAACTTCCTATATGGAAACTCCCATTTTCCAGTATAGATCAGCAACTGCTCTGTAATTTGTAATCTTAAAGAATCTCTTGGGGCGAGGTTGAATAATGTATTCAGTCATACAGCCCATATGAGTCAGAGGTGGGATTAGTTGTTTCCAGCCTTTTTTTTTAATCTAGACCCTCAGAACTATACCCGATTCTCTTTTTATTTTTTTCCTTTTTTTTCAATTTATTTATTTATTTTTAATTTACAACATTTGCTTTTATAGGATTTTCAGTTCTAAATTTTCCCTCCTCTCTCCACTCTCCCCTCCCCCCTAAACGGCATACAATCTGATACTGGCTATACATGTATGATCATATTTAACATATTTCCACATTAGTCATGTTGTGAAAGAAGAATCTGATTCTCCTTTTAAACAAATTCTTTAGAGTATGACTAGGTCCCTCAGGCAAGACATTTGGTTGATACTAGGAAGTAGACAGAAAGGCTCTGTTCACACCTGTTCTAACTGATTGACTCAATCAAGAAGTGTTCTAACCAACAGAAGCAATCACTTTTAAGTGGCTGAGATAATGACTAGAGCCCTGCCCTTCCTTACTGTACCAAGTTAAAGTTAGCTGAAGGAACAGGAGATGTTTAGCCTGGAGAAGCGATTTTGAGGGGTGCTAACAGCTGCCTTTAAGGGATATCATAAAGAAGAGGGAATATTAGATTTATTCTCCTGTGATCCCAGGGCTAGAAGAAAGATTGAACGTTGCAATTTAGACTGGATATCGGGGGGGGGGGGGAACTCTCTAATAACTGGAATTCTCCAAAAATGGAATGCACTATCTTAGGAGAAGATTCCCCTTCACTTGAAATTTTCAAGCACAGACTAGATAATCATTTGTCCCATATATTATTTTTGTTCAATTGTTTTAGTCACATCCAACTACTCATGACCTCTTTTGGGGTTTTCTTGGCAAAGATACTAGAGTGGTTTGCCATTTCCTTCTCCAGCTTGTTTGACAGATGAGGAAAGTGAGGCAAACAGGGTGAAGTGACTTGCCCAGGGTCACACAGCTAGCAAGCGTCTGAGGCTGGATTTGAATTCAGGTCTTTCTGACTCCAGACCTGGCACTTTATCTACTTCACCACCTAACTGTGACAGATAGGATTTTTGTTCTAGTACAAGGTGGTCTCCATAACCTCTGAGGCCCTTCCTGAATCTGAGATTGTTAGAGGGGGCATATAACCTTGAATAGCTTGTATACTTGTGTTCTCAAAATGAAATAAAATGTAATAAAACAAGGAGTTTTTAATATAACTAATGCATAGTGAGGAAGACCTGAGTTCAAATCTGACTTCAGATACTTACCAGCTATATGACTTCGGGCAAGTTACTTAACCTCTGCCTCAATTCCCTCATCTATAAAATGGGGATAAATATAGCACCTACCTCCCAGGATTGTTGTGAGGATCAAGTGAGATAATAATTTGTAAAATGCTTTCTCTCTCTCTAATTAACCTCTGGCCTTTTTGTTGGTTGAGGCAAAAATCATTACATTGGAAAGATTTGGGTAATGAAATAGAAGATAATATTATTGTGTCTCTGGGTACAGCGTCCAGTGCAGGGCCTGACACATAGTAAGTACTATACAAATGTTAACTATTATTATTGTTGCTTTTGTTATTAATTATCCATTTTGATTAAGCCAGATATAACAACACCTGATTTTTTTTTCTGACTTGTTAGTCCTGAGATTTCCATGTGAATACATTTGGGGTTTGATAACCATTTCTTCACGTTTCTAACAAGGCACTTCTCCAAGAGGTCTGCTCAAACAAGCCAGCCTCCCTGTGATTGAAAACCAAGTGTGTAATCGCTATGAGTATTTAAATGGAAAAGTGAAATCTACTGAACTTTGTGCTGGTCATTTGGTTGGCGGTGTGGATAGCTGCCAGGTAAGAAAATGCCAGTGGGTGCCTACCTGAGGCTACCCTCAGGTTTGAATGCTGTGACATCTTACACTGGTTCCCATGTTGGGCAGTTCAGTGAGAAACACCAGCCTCCCTTTCCCCATAATGTTGCACAGCCAAAACAATTGGATAGAATCTGACACTATACAGACACACTTTATAAGCAAGGAATGCCCACAGGCAAAGACAAAGCAGGTAGCCACCAGCATGATGTGCTTGGAATAGATCTCCCACTCATCTGATGTTTCACTTGCAGTCATTAATGTGTTAAACCTAATGATAGAGTTCCCTGGAAGTAGGTTTTTAGATCTCTTCCACTGGCAGAGAAGATCAGACTAGCTGATCGAACCTCAGACCTGGAAAGGATGAAGTTCAGGGAAGCACTCAGGGGTGGGAAACTTGAGGCCTCAAGGCCATATGTGGCCCTCCAGGTCCTCAAGTGCAGCCCTTTGACTGAATCCAAACTTCACAGAACAAATCCTCTTAATAAAGCAATTTATTCTGTAAAACTTGGACTCAGTCAAAAGGCCGCATCAGGACCTAGAAGGCCACATGTGGCCTTGAGGCTGCAGGTTCCCCACCCCTGGTACAAAGGACTTGCCTAGTAGAGATGCACCCTGTCTAAGCCAGTAGGAAGCAGGAGACTTTGGCAGTCCTGGTGGGGGAGTATCTTAGGGAAAAAGGGACAGAGTGCATGCTGAAGACAGACTTCATCAATGTCATGTCTTTGTCTAGGCCTGACCTTATCTAATAGAAGCAAAGAACAGAGAAGGAAGTGATGAGTTTTTAATGGTAGTTTCTGCGGTTTCAGCACCAAACATTGTGGTAGGGATATAGCATACTCCCAGTAAATTACTGTTTGACAAAATATTTCTTCACTGAAAAAGGGGATATTTTAAAAGCATGCAGAAAAGAGATTCTAAAAACAAAGATACAGATAATCATTTCTCATGGAAGTGTGAGTCATTCTACTAAAAGGTAGCACAGTGTCTATGATTCAAACATCACATGATCACTAATTGTTGCATTTTTCTCCATACAGGGTGACAGTGGAGGACCTCTGGTATGTTTTGAGAATGACAAATATGTTTTACAAGGTGTCACTTCTTGGGGTCTTGGTTGTGCCCGGCCCAATAAACCTGGTGTTTATGTTCGAGTATCAAAGTATGTTTCTTGGATTGAAGAAATAATGAAAAATAATTAATTGGATAGAAGAAATTGTGAAGCAGTGACTGTTTATGGAAATCAGCACACAGGCAGAAGACATGATGTGCTCAGAAATAATTTACAGTAATCCAACTAAGACTCTGGGTGTTATCATTGGCTGTGAGTGATACCATCCTAATGGGGATTTTTTTTTTGTGCACCAGCTTTCCAGCTAATTGCCTGTCTGAATCCATATTAATAGACATTCAGCTGTGACATTTATTAAAAAAATAAATTCTCTACTTCCCTTGGCTTGAGCCATTTTTTTTTATCCTTGAATGCGAGATCAAAAAATATAAGAATAAAAGCTGATTTTAAATGTTTACACTTCCTTGTTCATCTGTGTAAAAGTCACTTTTCTCTAGCTCAAGGTCAGGACTACCTCTTAGGAGTCGTATAGTGAAGAATGAGGAACCAGGTCATAAAAATTATTGAAAAAGGCATGAGATGTCCCAATGGGTCACCTACCCCACTGCTCTTGACAATGTGGGGCAGCTTGGTGGCACAGTGGATGGAGCACCAGGCTAGGAGTCAGGAAGATCCAAGTTCAAATTCACACTCAGACACTTACTAGGTATGTGACCCTGGACAAATCACTTAACCCGATTTGCCTCAGTTTCCCCATCCGTCAAATGAGCAGGAGAAGGAAATGGAAAACCACTCCAGTATCTTTGTCGAGAAAATCTCCCAAAAATAGGGTCACAAAGAGTCAGACAAGACTGAAATGACTGGACAACTTGGCAATGGAGGACTGCTTGACGCGTGTCCTTAGTGTCATTACTTTTGGCACTGAGAGATTTTTAAAAAGCATCAGCATGCATGTGGAGTCATGACAAGAAGCCCTATTCTTAGAAATGATATCTGTCAGTAACCACTTTCCTTTAGCCAAGCACAGGGAACACTGAACTTAGTGTTATCTGTCTAGAGTGAGGTGAACTGGGCAAGGAAAATGTAATTCAATATTGAGCTAAGTGTCTGAATGTTGTCCTGGGTCAGAGTAGAGTCTAGGAAGCCTGCCAAAATCATTAGCAGCAACAACATGGGAATAGTTATGATTCTCCATTTATTTTCAAATAAGATTGTTTGCCCCTTTTAAAAAAAAATGCTATGCTGTAGTGATATTAAGGTGGCTGTAGAAAGTGGAAAAAACCCTAAGGTTAAATTTTCAGTTTTTAATTGATGTCTCAGGTAATTTGTATTTTTTTTAAACATTCATCACATTTTCCCCTGCCCCAAAGAAATAGAACTCCTTGCTCGTTCCTTGCCTCCACCCCCCCCACTACTTCCACTGAAACTGTATTTTAATAGTCTTCTACTTATAAACTATCTGACTAGAAATCAATACTTCCTTTTTCCAGTTGGTTATCAAACACGAAGGGCAGCAAGGTGGTGCAGTAGATAGAGTGCTGGGTGTGGAGTCAGGAAGATGAGTCTTCCTGAGTCTAAATATGGCCCAGGACACTTACTAACTGTGTGACCCTGTTTGCCTCAGTTTCCTCATCTGTCAAATGAGCTGGAGAACGAAATAGAAAACTACTCCAGTATCTTTGCCAAGAAAACCCCAAATGGGGTCATGAAGAGATGGACATAAACCACAGCAAAGCAACTGTGAATGCAACCTCTGTACCACACAGAATATTGATGGAGACATTTGAAAGCTTCAGGCTGGTAGTAGTCTTCCAGTCATGCCATGTGTATTTCATAGATATCATGAAGTATCAAAGTCTTTGAGAGATTAAAGTTTCAGGCCACTTAAACTTCTAATGGAGAACCACAAGGTAGGTGTAAATATATTTCCAAAAGGATTTACACAGGAGAAGTAGCATAAAAAGATCTCAGTGAAGGTGTGTGAAAAAAGGTGATGGGCCAGTCATGTAGAAAGAGGAAGGGGTCTCATGTGTCCCACTAGAATCCACACAATATCAATAGATGCAGAGAAGGCCAACAGTACATTGGGTACATCCCTCCTTGAGTGATTTAGGGACAGGTCATTTAACCTAACTGTCTCATTTTCTTTCGCTACAAAATTAAAGGAGTGAATTAGGTGGTATTGAAGATGCAAAATTATATGATTCTGTAGTTGTAACTCATTTTGTGAAAAGCCTTGGAACTTCAGAATGGGAAGGAACTTAAAAATATCATTGAGTCTGATCACTGAATTTCCCATGTGCGGATGCTAATACTTTGAGAGATTAAGCAACCTGTCCAAAGTCATACAGCTTGTTAGTATCAGAAACATTAGAGCATTGCAGCTGTTAACTTTAAAACTCACACACCAAGCAACATCACGTTAGACATCTACCACTTTGAAATTTATCTCCAGTCAAGCCTCGATGCCCTAAGAATCTAAATCAAATAGGGGTTGACGGCTTATATTTCTTTATGCTTTAAGGTTTGTAAATTACTTTCTTCATATATCTTAACATTTTTGAGATGAGGAAACGAGGGTTAAAAGGTTGTGCTTTGCCCAAGGTCACACAAGGAGTAAGAGGCAGAACTAGGATTTGAATCCATGTCTTTGGGCTGTGGTGGTCCTTCCACTATGCCTGTCACTTCCTAGGGACAGCAGGAAGTTGGCCGATGACTGAAGATGCCCTGCTGGAAAAATCCTGAAAGCTACAAATATTCCAAAATGAGACAAAAGGTAGAATTGTGAGTTAAGCTCATTATTGAAACACCTTAGAAAGTAAGAGGAATCCAGAAGCTAAGACCTAAAAGGTTTTAAGAAAAGGCTTTTACCTTATTTTCCTTATCTCTAGACAAGGACATGTTTATTACTGACCAGAAGCTGAAAGGCAAAACTATTTTGATGTGTGGGAAAACTGATCATACTAATTTGCTTTGTGAATTTTTCCTAAAGGTGAGAAGAGAGAAGAGAATCATTATTAATTTTTTCTTGCCAATTTATCATTTTTTATTGTTATTGGAGGTAAAATAGCTTAAAGATACAGAGGTGATATTAAAAAAATGTTAAAGTCCTCTTAAAGCTAGTGCTCTTAAGGGAAAAAAGGCAACAGCAATACAAATACGAATTAGTGAAGCCACACTCTAGGACTAAAATCCAAGGCAAATTATTTGACACATTTTATAAAATGTACATTTAAAATTTAAATCAGTTGTGATATAATGATTAAAAGCTTCAATTGTGATTAGCACACATATTGTGTACATATATATCTATATATGCATACTCTAATTGAAATTCTCTCTAATATTGTCTAGATCTCATGCCCTATAGTTTCCCTCTACCTCATGTTCCCAGAAAAATAATATTAAAAATACCATATAAGGTACATACTCGGCCCAAAAGTATAACATACAGAGTAGCATACCAAAAAACCCTGATGTCATTCAAGGACATTTTGTGACCTCTAAGAGCACTTACAAAACTGGATGCTAATTAGTCTAAGCAAGGCTGTACATACTCTTTATTTTGCATTAAGCATTGGTTCAGTCCTTGAATAAGTGAATACTGGAAGAAGTGAATAAGAAATCTCTGTGCCTTATTAAATATAGCTATCACCAAGAAACAAACCTAATAAATCACGTCAGCCTTTGAAAATGTAGAGAACTGTGAACTCATCAGTAGTGAAGACCATTTTCCCCTCCACAGTTCCTTCTCATTGGACTAATAAAAATCTGGCTCTAGGTGTCCACTGCAAGAAAAAAAATAATAATCTTTTTGGATAATCTCAGAGTTAATTTTGAGTAATAAGTAATCTAGCCAAAATATCAACCTGTATTGCAAATGAACCTTTATAATTGGCACAATGCCTAAACCAAGCTAAGATTTATAGAACCTGATAGGAGAGAAAGGAAAAACCAAACTAGTGAATGTTATACACCAAGTGCTCAAGATGAGAATAGATGCTAAAGGCTCAGCACAGTGTTGTCCAATATATTTAGGATTCCAACATCAGGGTTCCTAAATCTTGGTCTTCTGTGGTCTTTTAAAAATATTTTAAACATGGCACTTTCATTGGTCAGCCAGATTTTGATGAAGTCACCTCCAAATTTTTTCTTGTTGAATTGAATTGGATTATTGCTGCTCATGTCACCAGCATCACTCCTAAATTCTGCTTGTTCGCATATCCTGACTTGCTGGAGGAATCCTCATCAGAATGGGGCAGGCATGTTTTCTCATTCACCATGGAGCTCTTTTTCTCTCCTTGTATCAGAAGTGAACAACTCCAATACAAAGAAAATTTCTTAGCTCCATGAAAGCTGCTCAAGGAAGTGGCTCTTTACTAATATGGCCACATGTCCCATTCTCCCAAAAAGAAATGCCTGTTCTTTCTAATATTATACAAAAATACACTGGATATTTTAAAAGTCTATCTATCATAATTGAAATACAATATATATAGTACAGAGAACTTGTTCATAGAATTATTAGAATGCAGCTGAAAATGAAACACATATCCTTGTAAGTTGTGTTTGACTGATTTCAAAGGAATATGTGACAGGACCCAGGTTCCCAGGGCGCAACTTCACACTAAATACCCTCTTTAGTCTTTGGCAAGGACTCAAGTGTGAATGCCCGTTACTTGACTTTTCTTCTTCTTGCCTTTTTTGTAGAGATGTGGGCTAGCAAAACACAGAAGAAAAAAGAAATTCCACATTGAAAAGTCACTTGATGAATTAGAAGAAAGGAAAAATATGTTTCACAAACATATTAGTCAACATGGCATTATTTTGGGCCATGGCCAACATGTTAATTGACAGTGCAGAGAACTGTCTTTATTTGTTTTCCACTGAGAAAGAGATGGTTTGAAAATGGAGCTGTTTGTGGCTTCCAAAAAGTCATCAAATGTGAGACAGCAGTATTAGTAACATGAAAAAGGAATTAGGTGAAAAGATGGTTTTAATAATTTGAGGGACAAGTAATTTGTTTTCAGAGTAATTAGGAAAGAATTGATAAGCTAATGTTCATTGAAGAGAAGGTGACCAGGATTTTGAAAGAGACTAGAAATCATCTCATATATGTACTGGTTGAAGGACCTGGGACTATTTAGGCTAGAGCAGTGAAGACCTAGGGGCATGATATGTGCCTTGATATGGGAAAAAGATTTAAACTATTTTGCGTTAGCCATGGAGGCAGAATTAGCCACAATGAGTAGAAACTGCAAAAAGCCAGAGTTTTCCCCTCACAGTAAGGGGAAAAAACAAACTTCCTAACAATTAGATAGGTCGTAAAATATAATGGGCTGCTCTGGAAAGTAGCAGGTCCTTCATAACTATAGATCTACAGGGAGAGGCTTGATGACCATTTCCTAGAGCTGTAATTCCTATCAAGTAAGGAGTTTGAAGGAAGGGCTTCTAAAAGTTTCCTTATCATTTTGAGATACTGTCATTCTGATTATTGCAGCTACTCGGTGCTGCTTTCTAACTGCTCATAATAAAAATAATAGCATCTCACACTTACATGATGCTTTAAGGTTTACAAAGTACTTTATATGCATTATTTTTATTTGTTGCGAGGTGATGACTTTACCCTGAAGACATGCTAGACTTGGATTCTTACATATTGTTTCCTGCGTACTATTTATTGGTTTTATGTTCCAAAATAATGTCATGCAAATAAGATGACGATGTGGGGCTCTTATCAAGGAAGAAAAAGAATTTATTACATATATGCTGACAAACTAAAATAAGGAGGTGAATTCTGACTTTTAAAATGTTTATAGTTTTAAAAGATAGTTACTATTTTAATACTGAGAGATAAAATATGAACAAAAAATAAAATGATATAATTCAAAGTCAAATGGTGTGAAGCAAAATGATGATATGTATCTAGGAAATGATGGTACTGATTATATTTCTCAGTATGCTTCTTTTACTTACACAGTAAAAGACGTACCATCAATAGTTGATTTTGCCTGGGTCTTTGTGTTTCTAATTGCAGATATGCAAACTCCAGGAGATCCAGGCTTTTAATTTCCATGAATTTAAGAATGTTCATGCGCACAGAAGATACTTATCATGTAAATCATGATAATACAATACCTGGCAAGCTTTTCTACATCCTCCACTGTTTCAGGTAAGGCAATACCCTTTGTTTCAGGTAAGAGCAAGACGAGCCCTCCACAGATTGATGCAAGAATACCTAAGGAACCGTAATGAAAGGCATTAAAGTACCCTGATTGGACATGCTTGACTTAATCTTCAGTTCTCAAAAATGGTAGATTTTTAGAAAGAAGTAGCAAAATTTGCAAATAACTGAAACAACCAAAATTTTTCCATAGGCCTGTTCTCCAGGTAATTTATGAAACTAATAATGAAATAAATGATTGTATTTATATAAGAATATAGAATTCAAAGTATATTACATTCTCTCATTTGATGCTCAAAAATGATCATTATTATTCCCACCTACATGTTTCAGGTACTTTTAAGCACATCCCATAGTTCTTTGTTGCCCCCATTGATTAGGGCTTTATTTTGGTATTCATGTGGTCTCATTATAAAAAGGATGTAAAATTTCCCACTGATGGATATTTTGTTCTGGAACCGATGTCTCCTTAACAAGGTAAGGTCACTGTGCCAATACCACATAAAGATGACTGATATACCTGTACTATACTTTTGGACTTGGTGTCTAAGTGCCACATTAGAGATAAAGCAACATGGAGAGAACTAGTGCTTAGACACAGAGGCCCACCTGAGAAGGAAGGATTTGGGTGAGTGTTCTTTAGGGTTTCCTGTTGGGTTAGAACCTGTCCTATCTTTGACATTTTGTTAGCTTTGGGGATTACATTGGTGCTCAGGACTCTTTCTTTTGGTGAAAACAGATATCAGCCAACTTCTGATATTTCCAGGGGAAACCATGGGTAGGGTTACAAGTGTGGTTTGTATAATAAGATCCAAGATTGAATCTAGTCAAAACCAGATTCCTGTAATTCTATTAGATCTTTTGGTTCTGAACAAAAAAATTTACATATAGATTAGGAAACTGAGGCTTAGAGAAATTAACCTGACCGAGATTACATAGCTAATAAATGGCAGCATCCTGGATTGTTATCAGTGGTATCCTCCTTTTCACCTTGGCTCCAGAATTAACATGGACCTTTGGTAGGAAAATAAAATGGTTAGAAGGAATTTTTCATGGAATTCTTGACTTGAGTTCAGATGCCCAGATGAACACCTAAAATTATTTTTGTGAAATGGTATTTCTATTAGACAGGAGTTTGGCCTGTATGACTTCTAGATACTTATTGACTCTCAGATTTCTATCACATTCTTCAACAGTGGGTTTGTGAGAATGGATGAAACCAAGACAGGCTACATTTATGACTATGGTTAAGTGCTTAATTTTTTTTTGGCTCACTGTATTTATCAGCAAACCAAATAAGTAAGAGATAACTATAGTAGAACTCCATAAAAAGGGACTCACTTTTTACATAGATTGTTTTATATACTCAAAATCAAGTCACATCTTCTTAGGCAGACACAAATCTGGTATGATATAGATGTATCCTATAAAGAGGTGTCACTTGGAAATATACATCAGGCAGCTGGAAACAATAACTAGATTAGAATTTGGGAGAGAGAACAGAGCTGAAGATAAAGACTTGGGAGTTATCTGCATAGAAGCAATAGTTGAAGTTATGAGTATGGATAAATTACTAAGGGAAAGAAGATATAGAGAGAAAGGGACTGATAATAGAACTTTGGGAGTGTGCTTACATTTGAAAGATAGGAGACAATGGGTTAAAGACAAAGAGGGCTTATTACAAAAAATTGGAATAGTAAGCCCCAGGAAGTCAAAGGATAAGAGTTTGAAGAAGTAAGCGATGGTCAATAATGTCAAATGCTGCATAGATTTCAATAAGGATTGAAAAAACTCCATAGCACCTGGTGATTGGAGGATAATTTCTGGTCTTTGAGAAAGCAGTTTCAGTCATGGTGGTGAATGACAATGACACGTTACTCTTGGATCAGGCTTTACTATTTACTTTCACATATTTCTCTCAAATCAGACATGAGATCAAGGATTGGGTATGACAAGTAAAGGCAGCAAATGCCTGATTTTAATTTTTCTGAGAGATTTATTATGAACTTGATAAGCATCAGGAAATGCAAATATTTCCATATAAAAAGGGGAGTTGTACATAAAACTAAGATCTTCTATTTCATGTAGTTTGATTTGAAAACATATGCATGGATTTTTACATTTTTTATTTTTTCAAGTTTTCTTGTGCAAAATGACTAATATGTAAGCATTTTACATGATTGTACACATATAACCTATATCAGATTGCTTACAGTTTCAGGGAGGGAGGAGGGGAACAAGGGAAGGAGAGATAAGATTTGGAACTCAAAACATTTTTCAAAATGTTAAAAATTGTTTTAACACGTAATTAGGGAAAAAATCAAATGTTATTTTAAAAAAGAGGTGTCAGTTCTGTTCTCCCACACCAGCATTTTACAGGAGTTCCACTTTGGTTTTGCCTCAGAAATCTTTTAAAGATAAGTAATTAAAAAATAAAACAGAATCTTGTAGGAGAACTACATTTATGGGTCAAAATTTTACTGTGTTATAGCTGCTCCTCAAAAATAGAACGGTCAAAGGCAGAAGACTAAATGGAGGCCACCAGTAACAATTGTAAGAGTCAATTTAGAGTTCTATTAATAATAAAAGCTGACATCTGAATGGCATTTGGAGGCTTGCAAAGCATTTTACATATAGTCTAATTCAATCCTCCAAGAGGTAGGAAGTACAGTTATTTTTATTCCCACAGAAACTGAAACTCAAAAAGGTTTAAAGGGTTTGACCTTGGTCACACAAGTAGAAAATATTATGGGCAAAATTTGAATGCAGATCTCTGTGAGTCCAAATTCAACACTCTATCCATTATATCAGGTTAACTCACCAGTGAAAACTACCATATTTAAAGAGACATGCTAAATTCTCACCAAAAATGATAAGAGGTAGTTCTAGCCAGATGGCTGCTAGCCGGAACAGCAGGAATGGAGCTACAATACCACCAAAATCACATAATCCTGAGCACAATGAAACACCAAAATTTCTACAAAGAAAAAAAAATATATTTTTTTCTTTAATGATCAAGGCATTGGCAAAATCAAGAAAATGAAAAGTGCATGGTATTGGTAATAAAAATCAAAGAACTACTTTATATTCACAGAGCACTTTAAATTCTGAAATATATTTTCATACCAATTAATCTAGTTTTATCCTGATAGCAGTCATGTGTGGGAAGGCAAGTGCTAGCTTGCAGCTTATAAAGATAAAGTAACTAAAGCCAAGAAAGATCAAGAGACTTAACTAAAATTAATCTTATTGATTAGCACCACAGATTACAAGTCAGGTACTTGCCATGTAAGCCAACTTGCTCATGGCTGTATCTCTTCTGTTCTTAATTGTACTCATGTTCTACTCTTTAACAAAAGGCATATATTTTTCCTGCTGGTATTATTCTACTCTCACATTTTACCACCTTCATACTGTAGAGTTTTAGCTTTCTTAAAACTATAGCATTTGAACACTTTTATTTTGAGTTACAAATGATAACTCCCTTTCTAAATAAGTTAAATAATGTACTCATACAATTTTGTTGTTGTTCAATTGTTTCAATTGTGTCTGACTCTTTGTGGCCCTACTTTGGGTTTTCCTGGAAAAGATACTAGAGTGGTTTGCCATCTCCTTCTCCAGCTCATTTTATAGATGAGGAAACTGAAGCAAACAGGGTTAAGTGACTTACCCAGTGTAACACAACTAGTAAGTATCTGAGGCTGGATTTGAACATGGGGAGATGAGTCTTCCTGACTCCAGACCAGGAGCTTTATCTACTGCACCACAATACACATACACACATACATATGTCTATATATATATATATATATATATATATATTATATATATATATATATATAGACATATATATGTCTATATATATATGTATACACACACACATACATACATATATATACACACATATATATATATACATATACACACACACACAAATATATATATGTGTGTATATATATATCCACACATATGAAAGAGGACTGGATTTGATATCTGGGGACTTGACTTTGAATCCTGACTCTTTTTACCATGTGTCTGACTGTGGGAAAGTCACTTCTGGGGACATCATATATGAGATGAGAGGCTTGAACTGATGATCTCTTAGTTCCCTTTTAGGGGACACACACACACACACACACACACACACACACACACACACACACACACACTTTAATGTATTATAAAGAAAACTAGACTGGGAAACTGTAGAACTAGTATAATCCTGTCTTTACCAAGGTCACAAAGACAGTAAATAGTATATCCAGAATTCCAACCCAGGTCCCTAGTTCTGTGCCTCAGTTTCCACACGTGTAAAATGAAGGTGTTGAACATGATTTTTAAGGTTCCTTCCAACTCTTAGTCTGTGATTATTATTATATCTATTGATACCAAAGGTAACAGAGAGCTTAAGAAGTAACAGTGCTTAATAACTGATTTAGGAAAGTTATTGTTTCATCTTCATGGATTTGGCCCAATATGCTACTCTTATCAAGAAATCATGATTTGTTGGTTAAATTTATATAATGCAATTTTAAAGTATCAATACATCAATCTGGTTAGCAAATGAGATGACAATGACCTTACACATAACATGTGAAATTTAAAAGCAGTGCTAATGCAAAAAAATTTTGAAAGCTTCAAGATGACATTTGTAGCAATAAATGCAAGTATAAAACTTTATTCTTATGTCTTGGGGTATAAGTACAGCCAGTTTATCAGAAAAAAAATCTGGACTGCTAGCTTAATATCAGTTAATAGTGTGACATGGCAGCAAAAAAAAAATTAAGGTAATCTTGGGCTACACTCAGAGGAATAACTTCTAGGAGCAAGGAAGTAACGATCATACTGTATTCTGCCCTAGTAAGACCACAGTTGGATAATTGTATTCAGTTCTCTGCAGCAAAGTTTTGGCATGCTTCAAATGCCTCTCTTTTATTCAACATTTGGCTTTTTTCATTGATGGTTAGGCTCAGGTTTGCAGGACATATCACTATGAGTTACATCTTGAGCTCCTTTGATCTTCAGAACATATTCCATTTCCTTCCGCTATTTCTGCTGGGAACAAAGCATAATCTTATGTTGTTCACTTTTCTTTTTATTGATATTTAACAGACTTTTTCTTGGTTTCTTGCGGTATTTGGGTTTGCCATCAGAATTCTTAAATATAAACACCATGTTTTAGAGTATGAAGCATAGGATTTTTTCTGGTGGTGATCTGTGGATTCTTTTAATTGGCACTTTGTTTTTGGTATTCAGAAGTTCTGGGCAGTATTCTTGTATTATGATGTTCAGGTTATTTTGCTTCTTGTAATCTTCTTAAAGATTTATAATCCTTAATTCTCTTTATGCATTCTGTCTTCAAGATCAATTTGTTTTGTTTTTACAGAGATCATGACTTCTTTTAATATTATTCCTTTTTAAACTTCTTTCAGATTGTTCTTCAATTCCATGTGTTTGTATTCCCAATTAGTTGTTCTCTCTTTTATTTCTTTGGAGAGATGTACCACTGTGAATCAAGTTTTTCTGTTTTGTCAATTATTTCTACTTTACAGGCTATAGAATCTCTCACACTTCTTATTTCTTTCTTGCATCATTCAGGAATATCTTGCTATGGTTCTATGATCTCTTGGGAATTCACAGGACCTTGTTTCTTAGCAGGTGGTGATTCATTATTCTTTTTCTTACAATATTTATTCAGAGATGTTTGGACTCATGTAGATGTCCTGGAGTCTATCTTCTCTTTTGTTATTAATATTATCTCTGTTGATTTATCTGCTTTCTTTATAGGTTTTTAACTGAATTTTCTTCTTCCTTAGATCATTGGAAATTTCATTTCCCCCCCCCCATATTTCCTTGTTTCTCATTTTCTGACTCCTTCCCCTTTTAGGGCCAATGCCCTGAGGGCTAGACTTCAGCATCCTCCCACACTAGGGAATTCACTTTTTATCAACCTCAGTCCCTGACCTAAATGGTCTTAAGGAGATAGAAGTAGATTCTTGGATTGCAAGTCCCTTCCTTCTGGTCTGGTTCAATCCCCTACAGAGGCAAGCACCTTGCCACAATTCCTTCAGTTCTTGGTTCTCTGGTTGAGCACTGCTGCATAGCAGCATGCTTCCATCCCAGATAGTGTAACACTCTGGGGAACTTCCAGAGGAGGGTAATCAGAATGATGAAAAGCCAGGCCATACAAGAGTTGGTTGAAGTAAATAAGGATGTTCACCCTGTAGAAAAGACTTGCAGAACCTGATTACAAGAATACAAATATCTGAAAAACTGTCATTTGGAAAAGTGATTAGATAGATTCTGTCTAACCTCAGAAGGAAGACCTAAGAGCAAAAGGTAAAAGCTCTAAAGAGCCACAGTTAGGTTTAACGGAAGGAAAAGCTTCCTGACAATTAGAGCTAGCCAAAACTGGAATGGGCTGCATCCGTAGGCAATGACTTCCCCCTCATTGGAGACCTTCAAGCACAGGCTAGATGACTACTCATTAGGAATATGGTACTAAGGATTTGCTTTTGATATAGATTGGACTAAATGGAGACAAAAGGACCTTGCCCACCCTAAAACTCTGCAATTAACTGAATGTATCAGTGTGATGGTAGCAAAGACGATAACATTGCTAAGAATGGAACACCCTTTCTGTGGTTCACTGCCCTGTTCAATATGAGAGACTGTGCTTTCTGTTATCAGGATGCTATTATTAGCTCATTGCAAGCAAGGCATGAGCACTGAGAATTTTACAGTAGCAGGGACAGACTTGCACTGATCCATAAATGTACTCACTTTCTCCAGCTTATGACCCAGCAGTAAGACAACTGTCTGGGACTAAAAAGATAGCATAAGTCTAGTTCCTATTTCTGTATAAAAGATATATAGCTACTTTCTACCATGCTATATACGAGAAAGAATTCTGCATTTGGGAGTCAGCAGAGCTGGGTCTAAATTGCATCTCTGACATCAATGTGATCAGGTCACTGTTTTCTGTTTCCTTATATGTGATGTGGGGGTAATAGAATTTAACTTTTACTTCCAATCTCATAGGGTTGTAGTAAGAAAAGTACTTTGTCAACCTTAAAGTTCTACAGAAATAGATTGTCACTATTGCTATGTCTGAGGATAACATTCTCAACATTTTTATGTCTGTGAAAATTTCGAATACATTTTAAAATTCACTTTAGCAAGTGATTGGCTTACACTCAGATTTAAGGGCAAACCTGATTCATATTTCAAATCATTTGACATTTATTTAGCTAGGTCTGAAAAACACTGGTGCTTAAAAGAAAAGCCACATTATTTTACTTGACAGTATTGGGGTGAGAGGAGTGATTATAGCCTGCATCACTGTATCTTTTTCCCTAAGAAGAGGTGTGATTTCAAACTCAAGGAGATGACTGGGCTGGGAATAATAAACTAATATGTTCCCAATGTGTCACTAAATCTTAAATAACCGCACAGGGAATGTCAGAAACAGCTGTCTGAACCTTTTGGGGGATTGGAAGGAGGAGGGAGGGAAAAGTAGCAATATTTATATTTCAAAGTATACTTCAGCATCAGAAAAGAACTTGAGACCCAAAGGTTATAAATACAGGGTGGAACATTTAATTTAAATAAGACTGATAGTTCAGTATGATAGTATTTCCTAAAGAGATAAACTGAAAAGGCTGGATCTAAAAAAATCACAAGCCAACTCAGTCATAATGATATAGTAACACCTCATTTAACATTAGAACCCATCTGGGATGCCCAGGAAGGGGGAAGCCCCATTATCACCACCAGGGGGCATTCTGTTCCTCCACTTGTGCCTTGGTCCCCTTCTTCAGCCCCACTACCCAAAACCTGAATGGGCTGCTTACACAGTTTGGATGACAGCAGTCACCAACTCCATTCCTCCTGATGACAGAAAGGACCACCAGGCTTTACTACCATCCGCCCTGGCACTGCGTCCTAAGCTTGTCCTACAGGCCTTATTATCTTCCCTATCTCTACATCCTTCAGAGCCTCTTGTAATAGATAGAAGATACAAAGCAGAATTTAAGGTTCTTTGCAGGTCTAATGTTCTGTTATGTGTTGTTTTTTTAAAATTCTGCTAGTATGGCTATGTGCTCTGATTTTTAAAAGAAACGAACCTGTGATTTCATTGGTGTTATGTATGGAACTCCTGGTGAGGAACTCTCTTTACCAATGCAGAGCTGCAACTGTCTTGCAACTTCTGGTCTTAGAGGATTGATTGGGAGCATTAAGATATTAAGCGACTTGTCCATGGTCACATAGCCAGTATATGTCAGAAATGGGACTTGCAATCTTCCTGATCCTAAAACCCGCTCTTCATTGACTGTGCAACATTCCCTTTTGTCCTCTGATAATGATGATGATGTGACGATGGTGGGGATGGTAGTGACGATGATGGTGGTGGTGATGATGATAAGAGTTTTTACTTATAATGGATATTTTAGTTTACAAAGTACTTTATATTCTTTATCTCATTTAAGCCTCACTAAATCCCTTAGATACTATAAGAAATTATAAGCCACATTTTACAGATGAGGAAACTGAGGCTCAGACAACCAAAATTACTTTCTCGTGATGATAGAAAGGGAGAGAATAAGCATTTATATGGTGCCCACTAAGTGCCAGGCGCTATGATAAATGCTTTTTACAAGTATTACTTCATTTAATCCTCACAAGAACCTTGTGAGGTGCTATTATTATTCCCATTTTACTGTTGAGGAAACCAAGAAAAACAAAGGTTATGTGACTTGCTCAGGGTCACACGGCTAGTAAGTGTCTAAAGTCGGATTCAAACTCAGGTCTTCCTGATTCCAGGTCCAGCACTTTATCCATTGTGCATCATAGGATTATAGAATTAGATCTAGATCTCAGGGATCATCTTGTCTAACAACCTCATTATATAGCTAAGTAAATTGAAGAAGCCTTGGCAAGACCTGCACAAGATCACGCAAGCTATCCTCTCACTCCAGAGAGAACATTCTTTCTCCTGCACCACAACTAGTGTTAGAAGCTGGAAACTCAGCTCTCCCATGACTCTTTTAAGAAGAAGGAAAGTGGCTTGATGGATAGAGCAGTAGCCTGGGAGTCAGAAAGACCTGAGTTCAGACCCTACCTTGGGCACTTACTTGGCTGTGTGGAACTAAGCCAGCCACTTGATCTCTCCTAACCTTTCAGTCTCTTCATCTATCAAATGGGAATAATAATAGCACCTACTGAACAGACATGTTGCAAGGATGAAATGAAACAACACATGCAAAGTACTTTGTAAACTTAAAGGCACTATATATATATGTCAGCTATCATTATGGATTATTTCCACTACACCATTGCTGTTTCTCTAAGGCGATGGAGCTATATGGAGGAATTTACATTTACACTAAATGTCCCCAAACTTCAAACTGAAGTTTCAGTTCTTTTTATATACTATGTGTTTCAGTGCTTTTAATATACTATGTCTTCTTCCTTTAGAGGTCACTTAAAAAAATAGACATCTGTCTCTTTCAGTCGTTAGGGCTGAGCCATAGCTAATGTCTCCATACTAGAAGGAGAAACGTAAGGAGCAGAAATGTAATGCTATGGAGTATACAGTCTCTCTTACATTGACAATGCCTATAACTAAATAAAAGTAAAACAATGTAAAGTTCAAATAAGGGTAAGTTGCCTTTGAGTGAGGACTTGAGGGGTTTTTCTATGAGTAAAGAGTATGCACTATGTGATAACTATTTAGGTTGCTTAGAGAAATTTTTGTTTTCCTTCAAGTTCTTGACTACATTACAACTCATTGAGGATCTTAGATAAGTGACTTCTGAAGTAGTGAGATGTGACTGTAATAACAACATACATCTGTATAGTCCTTTTGTGCTTTCTAAAATGCTTACACTTATATTATTAAAGCCAGTCTTTGATTAGGCTATTTTAAATGAATGTGTAGTCTTACTTGCCAAAAGAATACGTCAACTTCCCTCTTGTTTTCTGGATTGAAATTCTTAGTGGAGAATTAACTAAATCCAGATTCAACACAAATCAAACACACAAGCACTACGTGCTTCTCTCACTATTTGTATGATTGGGTTAGGTAAAGACTCAAATATCCATGATATTATTCTTGAGAGCAATATGCATACTCTCCTTTGGTTGGGGTGCAATGATGTTTTCCAGTCTTTCCATACAGGAGAAAGTCTTAAATGGGTCATGGATGTTATGCAACTGCAGCTTGGCTTTGCATTAGGAAAAATAAAACTGACCAATACTGGAAGGAGACTTGGAAAAATGCATGTACTCCACACTGATACTCCTCTTGGCAAATTAATTTTAGACGAAGTGAATGTAGCTGGTTAAAACTCAGAATACTGTACTAACATTAGGAGATATTTTGAATTTCTGAACGTATGTGGTGGCTTTTAAGCATTTCAAGCTTGGCCGATAACATATTTCAGTGCCATAATGGAGATGGCTTGCTTTTATTTAGGTTATTTCTGACTCATAATAACTTTAAACTTTAGTCACCACCACCTTCTCTGCTCTTCATCTCTTCATCCCTCCGCCATGATTTTGCTCTGTAAAGAGCTAATTTCTGTCTCCCCTCCCCCGAGGCTGATGTTTTTTGTTGCTTTGATGAAAGACCAATTTTTATTGCATCATGAATTCCTACTTCTAAGTGAATTCGAAACTTTATGCAGTAAAAGTGTTTTGATTGATGGTGATGCCAACATCTCCTACAAGGCAGACTCCACTTTAACAGTGGTTTCAGCAATTTCATATGCAAGCTAGAGAGTAGAAGAGGGCTTATGAAAGAACCACTTTGTTAGTTCCACTAGGGACTGGCTCTGAGCAAAGGGAATGCCTTCTGATTTTGGGCACCTCCCAGAAGCTGACAGCCCCTATTTTCTTGTTGTTTCTATTCCTACTTCCAGACACTGTGAGTTCTGCTAATGGAGGGAACAAGAATACTATTCCCCCTGGAAGCTAATTATTGAAAACAATGGTTAGCCTAAGGTAGAATAGAACAGTTATCCCTTCCACTTCATAGCTTTCCCCAGTGGGGTTTCTATACATCGTGGGCAGGCATATGAAATTAAATGGGAATTTTTTGGGAGTTTTGTGGAAGCTGTAGATGACATGTGAAGGCTAGAAAAAGTTTAGAAATGCATACTATGTGCATACACACATATATAATATTATACAATATCAACATATTTTAACTTTTAATATCATAATAATTCAGACTTCTCTGGTATAAAGGGAAGGCCAAAAGATTTTACATAGATTTTCGAGATCGAGGGAGCACCAAGCCTGTAACTTCCTTGATGCAGCAGGGATAATTGTAGAATGTAAAAACCCAAAAGGACTTTCGAAGCCGTCTAGTTGAAACGCCTTTCCCAAGAACTGGAGCCCAGTAAGTGGAAGAGCTGAGGGTAGAACTCCAGATTTTTTTGACCCATAGTCTAGTGTTCTGTGATGGGTGGACCATCTCTTTGCCAAATTATTTGTGCAATAGGTATTTACTGAGTGTGCACTGTCATTTGGCATGTAGGATATCTATCTGAATAGCCACAGTTCAGCCCCTTGTTTCTTCCCACTCAAAGCTGTTGATGTCCCTTACTGGGAAGCTAATGCATCAAGAAAAAATGTAAAAAGTTACATCCCTCCCATCTATAACTATCCTCCCATAAAATACACAGCACAAAAGCCATCTGTTTCTCATCACTTGCAACACATAGAAATTGAGGTAACAAATGGTGCTCTTAAGTCTCATCAGACAGGAACCTAGCTTAGGTATTTAATTAACATCTAACGACAAAATGAGTACAAATGGAGATGAATAAATATTTGCAATGATGAACAGACTATTCTCTAACCATGCCAGAAAACTTTAACTTTAGCTGAATGGGACCCCTTGATAAACTAACTTATGTGCCAGAACCCTTAGGCAGAAAATATTCCCATCATTCATTTCGAAGACATCATGTATGAAACAGATGAAACAAAGGCTGTGGGCCACATAAGCTTTGTCATAGGCAAATTCGAGGTTATGTACTTTGAGAGTATTGCCCTGAAGCTAGGCATGGGCCAACAAATTACTGAGCTAAATAGCCTTTTTCAAAAGGTTGAAGTCCAATTTGAAAGATTTCAGTCATAATATTAGAAACGAGAAATTGGGAGTTACACATTGTAATTACCTTAAGGTTGTTGGATATAATTCTGAATTTACCAAATAAACAATTTCAAAGGACATGGTAATTCCCAATCTTCCTATAGTAGCTACTGTGGTTCTCAACCATGGTATTCCTGAAAATACAGAGAGAAATGTTAGGGATTTAATGTAATTACTAGTTAACCATAAAATGTATTTGCTTGGTCCCTTGCACAACCCTGTAGTTCTCAAAGTACATATAATATATCAAACAGTAGCCAATGTGCACTGTAAATGTGTGTATAATGTATATTGTGTATATGTATATATACATACATACATGCATATATGTGTCTGTGTGTATATATATATATGGACTTAATGGGATAAATGCCCCCTTCCCACCACAGGTGACATGGCAGAACAGAGCTGTGATAAAACAGCAGAATAAAGAAGGCAAAGTTCTGTCTTAGATGTCTTAAATCTTTTCCAGTTCCTAAAGGTATTCATGTTGTCCTTCACATAGGCTCTTCAAAATAACATCCTGGCTGTTGTCACTCCTATCCCTTTCCTCTTCTGCTCTGCTTTTCCCTTCATTTTTTAAAAAACCACCTCGAAAGATCAGTCTCACAAAAACTGGAGCTGAAAGTAGCCTTAGAGTCTATTTGGTGCAACCCCCTCATTTTACAGATGAGGAAACTGAGAGGTTCAGAGAGGTTAAGTGATTTGCCCAAGGTCATACAGGTAGGACGTGGCACAGCTGGGATTTGGTCTTATGACTGTAGATTCAGCACTCTTCCCACTGTGCCAATATCTTCACTCAGCAGGCCAGGTAGATTCCTACCATGAAGTCAAGTCAAATGAGCCAAATAATATTCACATTCATTCATATTCTGTCTGTCTGTCTGTCTGTCTGTCTGTCTGTCTGTCTGTCTGTCTCTCTCTCTCTCTCTCTCTCTCTCTCTCTCTCTCTCTCTCTCTCTCTCCCCCCCCACCTCCATATACATACACACACAATGAAGCAACTTTTCAGGCCACTAGAGAAATATCCTTATCCTTTTTTTGGGGGGTGGTACTCTGTATTTTGAATAAGTAACAAAAAACTGCCCCAAACGTTCCAGAAAATTAAAAAACAAAGCAACCAGCTAACTCATTGAATTTCAGGCAGGGAGAATGTGTAGGCAGTTGGTTCAGATGTTTTTTGGTCAGGTCTGTCTCTTCATGACCCCATTTGGGGTTTTCTTGGCAAAGATACCATTTCCTTCCTCAGTTCATTTTACAGATGAAGAGACTGCGGCAAACTGGGTTAGATGACTTACCCAGGGTCACAAAGCCAATAAACATCAGAGAAAATTCGAACTCAGGAAAATGAGTCTTCTCGACTCTGGCCTGGTGCTCTAAGAACTATAGTACCACTTAGAGGACCCCTGTAGGCAGTTAAATCGTGTGAAATAAACTCTTTGGGATGGCTTTGGCAAATCATGCTCCTTTTCCTCCACTCCCAAAGTAACCCATCCATTCAAGAAATGTTTACTAAGTAACTTGTATGTTCAGGGCACTGTGCTAGATGTTGTTAGGTGCGTCAGGTTAGATAAATACAACAAATCGCCTGCCCTCCAGAAGTGTGGTCTTTCTTTCTATCTCTCTATCTCTCTATTCATTCATTCATTTATTTATTTTTGGTGAGGTAATTGGGGTTAAGTGACTTGCCCAGGGTCACACAGCTAGTAAGTGTCAAGTGTCTGAGGTCAGATTTGACTCCAAGGCTGGAGCTCTATCCACTCTACCACCTAGCTGCACCCCCCCCCCAGAAGCTTGTAACTATAAAAGTTTTCTCAACATTTTGGCTACTTCTATATGATCCTATATTTACAGAACAGTCTAGAGGAATAACTTTTTATGTGTGTTGATGATTTATTAACAAGTACTGCTGTTGTTACTCTTTCCCATTTGTTGAGCAACATAAATTTGCTAAGTGCTCTGAAAAAAAATACGGCTGCTATCAGTAGTCAGTGTGGTATGGTGGAAAGCCAATTGGAAATGGCCTCAGAAGCCTTGGGTTCGAGTCTCACCTTCCCCACTTACTAGCTCTATGACTCTGGTCAAGGTTTTCTGAGCCACAGCCACAAAATGGCTCAGATGGCTACTATGTATTACCCATTATATATTGTATACTCATCATTATTATATAATGCACACATGCAATAATTCTATAAAATGGATAATAATACTTGCATGCAACGCAATGATTGGCAGGAAAATACTTTTTCAGTCGTAAAGCCCTATTAAATGTGGCTTGTAAAAAAGACAAAGGATTGAGTGCACAGTAATATGTCCTGTGGCATGTAGTTTTCAACAAGAAATAAAAATGACAGAACACAAAATACATTTGTTTTGAAATGAAAATTTCAATTTCTTCATTCATTGGGACGTTAACTTTTAAGATCTGAAAAAGTATTAGGCATTCAGGGAAGTGCATTTTACTAGCAAAGAAATGGGCTTTCTCACCACCAAAGAAATAGGCATTCTCCTCTCTCTGAAATAATTTTGTATTTGCTTTGTATAGATTGTTAATTTACATATCTATATCCATTTTGTGTCCTTCAAATACAACCAAAGCTCCTTAAGGCAGGGGCCATTTTGTTTTTGTATGATCAATGATTTTATAGTGCCTTGCACATTGGAGGAGTTTAACAAATGCTCACTGAAGGAATGAATGAATGAATATTAGGGGAGAATCTATCTCAGTGAATTCAAGTTCGTTCAGTTAGTAAATATTCAGCAAATGAGGGGGGAAAGTCTTGAAAGTCAATAAACAAAGTAACAATCTAGCTAGGAGGAACAATGAGAAAAGCCGATTACTTTAATTCAAGATAATGGTTTTGAGTATTGGCATATACTTTCAGTGTAAACTCACTGAATATTTATCTATGTCTGTTCCCCCCAGATAAACTCTTGCATTAACAGTGAAAACAGAGAGGAATATGAGAACAGAATTGACGCTTGCTAGACAGCCATCTGTTCCAGCACTGAATAGTTGTAAACATGTGTCTTATTCATGCTCTACTGTTGCATTAAAGCCAGATAGGAGGACAAGGAAGCTAGTGCAACCCATTCCTTCAATGAGCAGGTGGTGCCCAGAGCCAGGTGCAGGATAATGAAGGGTGGATATTGTTGCCAAAGCTCCCTGCATCGTGCCCAGATTTCACAATCTCTGCTGGCTTCATGCCATCCAGGAGTGAAGAGACTAGCTGCTGAAGGGGAAATTACTTTACTACCCAGGTTTGATACTTAAATTCTTTCTTTGTTCCTCTAAATAAACTTAATTTGCCGTTGAAATGAACAATGGCAAGATTGTGCAAGATTATAGGTGCAAGATTAAGGCTGTATCTGTGATTAAAAATAAATCAAAACCCAAGAACACCTGGTTTGTGGTGCGATAGAAGCCAGATTCAGAAGACTTGAATTCAAATCCTACCCCTGCCACTTTATACGTGTGTAATTTTAGGTAAGTTACTTTCCCTCTGGTTCTTATTTTCCTCATCTTTAAAATGGTGGGGGGGGGAGAAGAGGAGTAGACTAGAAAATCTTTCAATTCTGATCATATGGTCTTAGCTATCTTAATATCTTATTCCGTGAAGTCATTTCTTTGGAAGTAACTGGTAAATGTTAGGAAGTAGTGGGTTGTAGTAGTGGGAAGTAGTATTGGAGGTCCTTAAGGCAACATTGGTTGCCTACTTGTCTGGTATGTTATAGTGGGAATTCCTTTTTAGGGATGAGTTGGACTAGGTGGCCAGTATATCCCTTCTGACTCAAAATTCTGTGCGTGTTTTAGATGTATGAACTTGCATGTGAGCACGCACAAATAAGCATGAACAAATCCCCCAAAGTCAGTAAACAATGGTTAGTATGTTCTCCATAGATGTTCCCTATGTTAGCATGAGGAATATAAAAATTAAAAAATGAGATAGTCCTAGCTCTCAAAGATTTAGAGAGATTTTTCTCCCCTCCACAAAGAATTTATTTGGAGATTTCTTTTCCTTATATCACACCTTAATTTTTACTTTCATAACTGGCTTCACATTTTGCAGAGAATTTCGTAATTATGGAATTGTAGAGTCTTAGAGAAATGGAAAAGACCTTAAGACATGGAATGTTAAAATTGGATAGGACCTTCAAAGCCCTCAGAGTGAAAATGATTGCTGTGTCCGCATTAAGCTACTTCGAAGAAAATAGAGGAGTGTGATATCCAGATAGAAATGGAAATTTGTCCAGGCACCTCAATTATTAGAAAATTATTGATCAAAGGGGATAATATATGTAAAACATGGCATAAATACTAGCTATATTATTATTGTTGTTGTTAAAATGAATGTAGGATTGAAAATGACCCCAGCTTTATAATCCATGTGAAAGTGTTATCTGCAATTGGATCTGAAAGAAAGCTGGGTAGAGTGCACATCACAGAAGTGCACAGCATTAGCCAAAGGAGTTTCCTCCTTGGGAATCTCTCAACACTGATACAGGTCTGGATTTTCTCCCCCTTACCCCCCCCCATTAAATAAGCAAACAAACCAAAAACCAGGATAATCTTACTAAAGTTAATGAAAATGTCTAATATGTACATTTTATTTTGCTTCTGATATTTTTCTGAAAGTGAAAGGTAATTTTCCCAGGTAGAAATAAATTAGTGTAATATAAAAATTTGGCTGGTTTTAGAGTTATCTTAAGTAAATTGGGATTGAGATGACAAAATAATACAAATAAGCAGAATTCTTTATTTTTCAAATCTCAATCAGGACTCAAGAATAAGGGCTAATTTGGGGCTAGAATACAGGCAGAGAAATATTTTGTACGCGTCTAGAACCTTTTTTTGACCACAAATGTTTGGTTTACTGGAGTGAAAGTTAGCTAATGAGTGTTCCTCTGAGGATACTCTTGGAACTGACTCTGTCAAGAGGCTACTCAATACTTAGAGCACTGTTACATTATCCCATCCCATTCCATCTAGACCCTCCTGATGTTTGCCCTGCCTGCCACTATGTTTCTCATTGCTGGAGCCCTCTGTGGAGCTGTTTTGGCCTGATTGGTGATTACGTCATGTGGCCTGCTATATCTAGTTGGCCCTACTCATGTTTCACATTCCACCGTTGCACCCTGGCCACCTGGTTGTCCATCATCTGCTCTTCTGTTGCACTTGTACTTGTTTCATAAACTCCATGAACCTAAAGCAGAACTGAACTTACTTTGTAATTTCATTGGATTCACACCTTCCCTACAATAAGGCAATGATTAATCTCTTATTTTCCCTAGAGCAGAGATTTCTTTTGGTTTAAGATACCTTTTCTTCCAGCTTCTGTTAGGCTAATGTTTTAATGTGAGTCAATGCCTATAAGAATTTCGAAGCAAGCTCTGCTAAGCATAACTAATAGTAGGATTCAGTTGCAAATACTAAATGTTGGTGATTAATATACAATAACTATTTCTTTATCAATAAGCATATACTTAGCAGACTTTAAGTCAGTGAAGCCAAGTGAAATCATTGATCACATAGCCAAGCAGAAAGAATATTATATTTGAAATTAGAGTACCTGGGTTCAAATCCATGTTTGATTACTTACTACATTGGCTCTCTCTGGGTCCTCTCATCTGTAAAATGAGGGGGTTGGATTATACAATCACTAAAATCCCTTCCAGGTCTAAATTTATGATCCTATAATCCAAAGGGACTATTACATTACCAATATTTGCTTGTTCTGTCATAGGCTTCTAAGAATTCTGTTCATTGATAAATTCTGGAAAAGTAGTTACCTTCTGGTAAGAATGCCGTCACAAGGCATGCAATTCCAGCTACTATATTGCTCACTGCAAAGGGAAGGCGTCGTCCCATACGCTCAATTGTTAGTAAAATCAAGAGAGCTGCCGGCAATTCCACAACTCCTGAGATAAAAAAATCTATATAGAGGTTTCCACCTATAATTCCTAGGCGCATGACAAGTCCTTGGTAAACCACTGCACTTGTGAACCTGGAATAACATCAAGAAAAACCAGAGCGAGACAAATAAGTGATGAACTTCAATCAGAGGTAAAGGCAAGGGGTCTTTGTAAAATTAACACACTTAAGTCTTTTTAAAATTCAATGCAATTGGAACTTACCAAGCAAACATTAGAATAAGTGTGCATTTCCTCATTTGGGGAGTCCTCACCAGATCTAAAAAGGATGGATTACTAACCTCCTCATCTGTAACAGTGATCTAAAGGGAAAAAGTAGATTTCGAAAGTAGTACAGAGCAATAAACGCCTCAATTGTAGAAGCTAGAGACTTGTCATTAACCAAATTCAAGGCAGCTGAGTCGTTGACCCTATGATACTTATCTAAGGTCTTTAGCCAACTGTCGCATATTATTTTATAGACTGGGAATAAAGTTATTAACTTCATACTTAGTCTTCTATCCATGACACACGGACCAAATGAAAGGGTTATTGCTCTGTTGAGAATGAAATCCTGGCACTACTATGCATAGTAACTATGAGTGAATAGAGAAAGAAATGTGGCAGAATTACCATTTGCAGTTAACTGAATACGTTACACTCTTGAAACTAGAAAGATGAATGTAGAAATAACTGAAGTATGTAGGTCCCAACATTGTATCTTCTTTTGGAAAAAAAAATAGTTAAGTTAAACCAAAGACAGGAATTAAGAGCAATAGATTGAATCAAAGGTAAAGATCTGGAAAGGACTTGAAATAGCATCTAATTCAACTAATGATGAGTAAAAGGTGGCCCACAAAGGTGAAAAGATTTGCCTCCACTTCCTTATTGTCATCCCCACTCACTTTTTCCCCTTTTTTTCTTCTTCCTCCTTGTTTTTTGCATCACTATGATCCATCTACCCTTGGGGTTGGAAAGTAGCCTTACACAAAAAGACTGCCCCTTCTCCAAAAGAATCTACTCATGTTTCAATCCCATAACATTCTGAATTTTGATCCTACCACTTGTCTGAAGCTTCTTCCCAGGTTAAAAATATTTCCTAAATGCTAGATTCAATGGTCTTTTCTCTCTCCTCATTCTATGTGACCTCTCTGTAGCTTTTGATACTGTCTACTCTCTTCTCTTTCAGATTCTCTCTCTACCATTGGTCTCCATGTCATTACTGTCTTTTCATTCTCCTCTTGTTTTTACAATAACTTTTTTTGAAAAATTTCCCTTTTGGGGCAGCTAGGTGGTGAAGCATAAAGAGCATCAGCCCTAGAGTCAGGAGGTCCTGAGTTCAAGTCTGACCTCAGACACATAACACTTACTAGCTGTGTGACCCTGGGCAAGTCACTTAACCCCATTGCTTAGCTCTCTCCCCCACAAAAAAAAAGAAAAAAGAAAAAAAAGAAAAATTTCCCTTTTATTATGAAATTGACAAGCATCAACAAACATGAATATTTCCATACACAAAGAAGAGAAAAAGAGGACAATATGAAATAACAAATCTCTACTGCATGTAACTTGTTTGTTTATATTTCAAATTTAACATGATTAAATGAGTTGTCTGTGTCCTATTCTGAACTTTCTTTTGCTCACTTATGTTTGTTTTTTAAATGATTCATCAACACATTTTTTTTGTTTTCTTTCTCTTAGAATGATATCTTCTTACTCTCCTTTGATCACTCCTTCTCCTCTTTAAGTTCACCAAGCACAGGCATTCTCCAAGGTTATGTCCTGCTTCCTTTTTTTTTCCTCTCTCTCTTTCCATTTCTCCACCATAAACATCATCAACCCCCAATGGTACAAATATCACCTCTATGATTCCCAAATTTATAAATCCAGCACTAATCTCTCCGTCCTACATTACCAATGTCTGCTGGACATTTGTCTTCATCTTGATACACAATTGGCACATGACCCTTAACATATTCAAAACCCAACTCACATTCCTGCAAACCCACTCTCCTCTAAATTCTCCCATTTCTCTTGATAGCATCACTATCCTCCCAGCACCCATGTTCATTATCTTAACAATATTGTTTAAACAATTTTTTAGATATCCATAATAATGAATAAAGAGTATGAAGAATGTTGGAAATATTTTATGAAAGATAAAGGAAATCAGCCAGCTCATTGCCAGATATGCTTTAAATCACTGACACAAAATATTGGTTCATAATAATAATAAACCATGCATTTGGCATTATGTATATTTTTACAGACAATTTCTGAATCTTTTATAAAAAACTGATTCACCATTTATGATTATGGCCAATTGTTGCTTTAAAACATGTCAATAAAATGTTAGGGAAAATATAGAATAACTTAGGATTTGAGCAATTCTTGAGAATTCCTGTTTCTCATTCCAGAATCCTGATCTGTCAGAAATCTGGAGACACTGATGAACTATTCCCCTTTCATTCAAAACCCATTAGATAGTGGGCCTGTGATCCCTGCCACTGGAGGAAGCTAAGCCTGTCGGACCACTTGAGCTTACAGTAGATCTGAGCTGCAGTAGAGCTAAAACCAACCAATATGGTGTTTCCACTAAGTTCAGTGCTTAGTGTGGGGAGCCAAAAGGCTGCCTAAAGAGGGGCAGACCTGTCCAGGTTGGAAACAGAGCCAGTCAAAGCCTCTGCGCCAATCAATAGTGAAATTGGTCAGTGAGTAGCTACACATCTATCTTGTGTGAGATAGCCAGGCCCAGTCTCCACCTCCATCCCACAAAGCAAAACAGTTATCGCACTCTTCCAGATATACACATCTTTGGATTAAATTATTCACATTGTCTACAATAAGTTGTCTTGACATAATAATTAAGCAACTTCCTACTTTGTACTGATATCTCAGTTTCCACCTAGCTGCATGTATTTTGGTCTTCTTTGTGTTTTCCATTATGCCCTCCAGGTACCTCTTTCCATCTCCTTTTCAGTTTCTTGTTTGTTTGTTGTCTTTTTCCTTTAGATTATAAGCTCTTTGAGGACAGGGACTATCTCTCCTTTTTGTATTTGTATCTCCAGCATTTAGCACAATGCTGGCCCATAGTAGTTAATTAATAAATAAATGCTTACTGGTTATTTATTGACTATTGACTGGGTTGGATCTGGCTTTTACTTGGTCAGATCTATGGATAATTGAATTATTCTATGAATAGATCACAAGATAATAGATTTAGCATTGGAAGGGACCTCAAAAGAAGTTATCTAATTCAATATCTTTATTTTAAAAATGAGGAAATTGGAGGTCAGAGAGGTTAAGTGGCTTTCCAAATTTGCCCAAAGTCACAAGTAGTAAGTGACCAAGGTGGGATTTAAACTCAGGTCTTCTGCCTCCAAATTCAGTGCTTTCCCTACTGTGTGTACCACACTGAGACAATGAATTTTGACCACAACTGCTGGGTAGCAGACATTGCTTTAAAAAAAAAAGCCCCATGGTGGGGGCTGGGGTAGAGAGGAGAGAGAGAGAGAGAGAGAGAGGAGAGAGAGAGAGAGAGAGAGAGAGAGAGAGAGAGGCAGGCCTAGAATCATACCTATAGAGATCATACAGTCCAACCTTCCCATTTTACAGATAAGAAAATAGAGGCACAGAGAGATTAAGTGACATTCCAAGTTTGCACAGGTAGTAAGTAGCAGAACTGATATTCACATGTAAGTCCCGTGGATTCTAATCCAATGTTCTTTTCATTGAACCATGAGATATACCATTTAATGGAGAGAACTGCAAACTTTTTAGCACAATTGTGTTGACACGTGTTTCTGTTGGCCTCAGTGAACAATGAAAAACATCCAAACTCTTAGATCAGACCTACCCTGGCCAAGTTAAGTGGAGACAGCATGTGGAAAATTCAAGTCAGAACATTTTCCATAGGGTCACCAAGATAAGTGTGGGGAAGCATTTTTGGATTGCATGAGATGATTGCTTAAATACTCTAATTGGTTTTGTTAGTATAGATGATATTTTTTGTGTTGGTCAACATCAACAGACATTTATTGAATTCTAACTATTTGCAAAGTACTGAGATAAACTTTAGTCATACAGAGATACGTAAGACAGTCTTCATCCTCAAGGGATGAGGAGCTATACATTAGATAAATATATATAAACATAATATTTAGATATATCATTACATATTATATAACCACATATATATACATATATGTGTATATATGTGTGTGTATACATATACATATATATATACATATATATGTGTGTGTATATATATACATATATATATATATACACGTTAGATAAATAGAAGTCCACAAGACAGAGATGACTTTGGTTGATCCAGGGCAAGTTACTGTTCCGTTATATTTAAAGAACAAATCCAGCTGGTCTTTGATTTAGAAAACATACCTATTCTTCTGAAAGTGATGCTATTCTCCTGAAAGGTCGACTCTTCATTTTTCAAATCTCCACAGATCTTCGAGACTAAGTATAAATTAACAGTTTGGATGAACTCATAAAAGGTATGTTTTGAAAGGCTTAGGCAATCTCATGTGGTTGCTGTGTTGGTGCTGTTTTTTAATAAGTTATGTCTCACTGCCATATACAGTCTATGGCAGCAAGACATAAAATACAACTGCTTCCAAAGAAGTAAAAATGAACATCACATTGAGGGCAATGGAGAGGGCCAACCTTTCAGGGAATTGTTTACGGAAAGCCTGAAAACACCCTTGGTTTATTTACATACCATAAACAAATACAGCATGTTCGAAAAGGCTTAGTAAGCTTTAGCTGTGAGGAGCCTATGACATATAACTAATAAGGAATTCCAGAGAAGAATAGGAGTACAAGATGTCATCAAAGAATTGTATAATAGGAAGAGAAAATGCTTTGTGGCAAGAATGATGGATGACATGGGTAGGCAGAGTTTTGCACTTTTTTGTTCCGTCATTTTCAGTCTTGTCTGACTGATTCTCTGTGACCCACTTTGGGGTTTTTCTTAGCAAAAGTACTGGAGTGTTTTGCCATTTCCTTCTCCAGCTCAATTTTCAGAGGAGGAAAATAAGGCAAACACGGTTAAGTGACTTGTCAAGGTCACACAGCTGAATCTGATGCCAAATTTCAACTTGGGTCTTCCTGACTCCCAGTTAGCCATTCTAAGCCATCTAGCTGCTCTTTGCACTAGAACCCTCAAAATAACAGAACTTTAGAAGTTCTTCACCATGTTGGGTAGAACCACTGGGGAAAATTTATAAGAGGACCTAGACAAAAATAACATTGGTTGGGAAGGCATGGATGGGTTACAATTGGCATTGTTGGAGAGAATACCTGA